CTGCAAACTTTTTCGGGCTCATGCATATAATCTGTTGGGCTCAGGCCGGGCCCAGGCTTACATCTCAAAATATTTTTCGGGCTCGGGCCAAGCTTAGGCTTACATTTTAAAAAAAAGTCTTCGGGCTGGGGCCGGGCTCAAGCTTCTGTCTAAAAATTCAGCGCCGGGTATGGGCCGGGCCTGATTCTATCGGGCTCGGGCCGGGCCCGGACCGTGCCTCTACTGACCTGGGTTGGGCCGGGCTTAGATATTTCGGCCCGTGCAGTGCTCTAAGCCGAAGGTAAAGCGAGGCTTGCAGCAGCCTTGCAGAAAGTTTCGAAAAGCAAAAGCACCCGCTAGTCGTAACACACCTTTGTCTTGTGTACGATTTCCCATTGCACTGCAGTAGTTACGTGTTCCATCAGTCAAACACTGCTTCCATTTATTATATAACCAGTCAACCTAATAGTAAAGATCAGGTTGTTTTTGTTCCCTCCGGACCTCGATGGTGCACGTTAAAGGCCGACGACCAAACTCAAGATTCTGCAAGGCAGAAGATCCTCCTCACCATGGGGGAGGAGGAAACAGGCAACGGTGGACAGGGTAGAAGGGGGGAGAGTGGGAAGCGGGGAAAAAGTGGAAAGCGCGAACTGGTCGTCGGTCTTTAAGTGACCGTCAAGAACCGGGAGGGGAGATCAAGGAAGATGTGGTCGGGATGCTGCTTGGAATTGAAGAAGACTTCTTGCTTCTTCTTGTTGGGGCCGACGGTGGAGAGTCAATGAGCTTGGGGGTGAAGTTGTAATGAATACAACTTATAACAATAAATTTTACTCCAGCCCAAAAAAAACCGTTACACGAAAGAAAATGGCACTCAGCAATTAACTGCCGCGCACGGCAAACGAGGGGGCGCGTGCAACCGACGCTCACCTGCCCCGGGCTGCAAAGGTGGCAGAAACGGGCAGGAGCAAACAACAAACAAAAACCACAAAAAAAGGTGGCCAGTTTGTCGACGGTGACAGGAAGGTGCTCAGTTGGGAAACGGACCCAACGAGCGGCCACAGGACATGTGCCAGAGTGACCCGCTTCGACACTGGAAGAAGAAGCCGCGAAAAGGGGGGGCCCCTCTGTTCGAAACACGTCCACATGCCAAGCAAAACTAATTGAGTTAGCTTAATGTGGACACCGAGGAGAGAGCTTCTAGGAAAAACGCTGAGTTCTCAATCCTTTGCGCAGGCAGCTAACACAGAGGCTGCCTACAATACCCGGTTTTACAGTTACCGGAAAAGTCCGTTGACTATAAGTGGCCAAAAACAGATAACAGTCTGTAGCTGGCCTGTCTTCTGAAGTCGAGGTAAATGAATGCGGGGACTTCGAAGGGGCGGATAGAAACAAACCGCCATGCATGCGCGTTTGTGAGCGGGGAAGACGCAAGTTCTTGCGCAAAATAGCCGCCATTTTGCTCCCCAGGGAGGAAGACAAAAGGGGCCGCAGCTCGCACGCTCAAACTTGCTAGCTTCGCCAAATATTTGAGCTAGATAGCTTACCGAATCTAGAAAAACATGTCTTGCACTCGATACGGCTCAATCAAGGGCTCACAATGGTGTGGGCCCTTCTTTTGAGGCAAGGCCAGGTTTCAGAGCAATGTAACTGCTGAGGGTCTTAGAGTCAGTCTTCCAGCTGAATCACGCGAGTCCGACAGATATCGCCAAAAGGCTCTCTGGCTACATGGCACCCAAGTTTCACAGCAGCATAACCCCCGAAAGCCTTAGAGTCACTCGTCCACCCAGATACTGTTACAGTGTGCCTCAGACCGCATAGCGTCACCACCATGAGCGCAAAACTAGTGTCGTTCTTGGACAACAACAGGCTGCAGGAGTATGTTGGCATCAAGCAGATACAAATCTTTCCCGCAGAAAACCCTCCGTGCCCACTGCAATACCAGAAGTGAATACAGCGCTCGCGTCAACAGTATGCAAACTGCTTCTCAAAGCCAACGGTTATGCGGCCCGGCTTCCGGAGCCTGTCAGTACCAGCTACTTATCGACGCTATTGGCAGACGTACCGTCCGACTCTAAATGAGTGTCTGCAACTACTCCGAGTCAAAGAAAACACAAATATTTACATTCCCAGATTGCACTGCTGATCCTTCGCTACTCTTTTCTGTCAAGCCTCGCTCCTCGCCGGATATAAAAGTTCACACGGTTCTCAAAAACATCATCAAAATTTCTATATACATTTCCCTTCAGGACAAGTTGTTGGTGGTGCACTAGGAACCTAAACACTCACAGATGAAGGGTTTGTTTCAAGCATGGAGAACAAAGGGTCTCCTGCAACAATGAATGTTGCTTGACGCACAACAATTCAAAACAGGAACACGCGTACGAATCACACTGTGCTCGCTCAAAGGAGTGGCACTGTGGGTTGCCGACTCGGCATTAGTCGCTCAACCATCAGGATGCTCGTGGTACGGGGCGATCAAAGGCAAAGAATGTCGGCAAATAAGGCTGGACATGGGGACGGACGCCAGGAGCCACGACTATGATAAAGAAAGCCGTGGTCTCACATTGGGCGCCATTTTATGTGGGATTTTGCTACCAACTTAGGTACCGATAGAGTAGCCAAAGGGTTATCTCAACAGCGGCGGCGATCTCAAAGGAGACGTCAAACCTACTAGTAGCACGGTCCCCCCATCTCCGCGGCAATGTAGACGACGTTAAGGGCTACATTACCGCGGGTCGGTTTGATAAATTACTTCCGTCGGTGCCAATGATTGACCACCTTGTCTCACTCACTCGAATATAGCGCAAGAGAAAACACACGTACCAGAGTTAGGACAGACTCCAAGAACATTTATTATAACACTCTTCTAAAAGAACTACGATGTCCCCATTCAAAATGCCCCCCGCGCCGGCAAGGTAAGAAAAGGTCCTTACTTGCCAGACGCGGGGTTCTGGAGAGCCAAGATGGGGGAAGCATCGGAGAAGTCGTTGATACACGTCCTATCTCTTTCGCGGTCACCGGACGAGTCCCTTTCTCGGAAGCGGGAAAACAAGAGGCGAAACCTCCTCACCTGTCAGCAGTGATCCGCATCCGAGCGGGGAAATGGAAATCAATCCCCCCACCCTCCCAGAGAGAGTGAGAGGAGGGCCCCCCAAGACAGGGGATCATCCGCCTCACGAGCAGGTCGGAGCTCACGGCGAAGGAGGCTGAGTGATTCAACCCGCGGCAGTTATCGCAGCCATCGGGCAAGGGAGACCACAGGAATCCCCACAAACTAGATAGTCCGAAGTCCCGTACCCCCCACTTTATATTCAAGCAGTCAGAATGGTACTTAATAGCTTCATTTGCATATCATAGATTTCCTAACATAGAGTGGCATATCATCTTATGCAGGTATGTAAATTTGTCCTAGGGTGCTGAAAGTTTGCACAGTGCACCTATATCTGAAGTTAAATCTCCTCACAAAATTTAATTCCGATCACTTGAGTAGTTCAGAAGTTCGACCTCTAGCCAGTTTCCCCCTTTGATGCAGATAATACCCTGTTGAACTCACTTTTTTTTTTTTTAAGACTTAGAGCTGTGGACTTCTCTTTTTAAGAACTGGTTTGAGCCAGTTCGTGCTTGGTGGAACCGATAACTGAACCTTTTTTTCGAATTAATCACTGAATCGGAACCAAACCAAAACAAAATGAAAATCTACCCGAACTCAAACCGCACCGGAATGATGACCGTTTCAACTTCCTGTTTTAAACTATTAATATCATTATTGTAAACCCGGCGTCGGATCATGTGGCTGCTTGTTCTGTCTGCTAGTTGAGAGGGTGAATGCTGCCCCTTTTTTCTCCAGTTTTTCCTGCGACCGCTAATTGTGCGGAGAACAAAACCAAAACATGTTTCGTCGAGAATTAGATCTGAACACTATTGAGCAAAAGTAAGAGCATCGTTTCCCTGACCCTTAATGCTGTACGAAAAAGCATTCATCCTACTTCAACTCGGCATTGTCTATCGAACAGAGACTGGTTCTGAGAAGAATCTGCTGCCACAGGGCTTATCAAGTTCAGGTGAACGATATTACTACAGCCATCATTGGTGGGAAAAGGACTTGCGAGTGCTAAACCTAAGGTTTGTCGTCTGAGCATCCATTCTCTTGTTTGGACATCAAGGAAGTAGACAAGGACTTTACGTTGAAAAGGAGTGTTATTGTTCTAAAAGATCTCTGTATCCACGGGAGCAACACTGAAGCTCTAGAAGTTGTAGGGTGCCTTACTTTTGTAATGTCACATAATAAGAAGATGGCTATTTTTAGTTGCACATTTACTAAAATCATTTGCACATAGTATTGACTAATTAAATGACAGAGCATGCTTGTTCTTATTTTCAAGTGTAAGTAGCGAACATATTTACTATTACTAAATAATTTCATTCTTGTTTGTTTACAGGATTGCCAATCCTTGCAACTTTCGTTTGTTGCTCTATATCTACACTACACAACACTGTTAGCGCGAGCATGACATTGATACTTCTATCAATTTTACTCGGAAAGAGTATCGACGAACATGAAACTTCACGAGTTTGATGAGCGTGTTGGGTTAATACTGTTGTTTGTAATGAGGACTTTCTGTCACAATAGTAGTTCTTATGGCAGCTTATCAATTATTAAGTCAGAAAAAAGAACAGGGCAAAAGCAGTGATTGCTTGTTTGTGCTAACAGTGTCGCGCTGGATAGAAACTGAAAGCTTTTAACCTAGAAGTTGCCAAACGATAAGAAAACTGATTAGCGTAGTAATTTTGAGCTTCGGGTGCCCAAGATGGAGTTTTCTGATTTTGTGCGTGATTTCGACAACATATTCAAAGTGATGCAGACTTGCTTGTTGTGTCGAAACCACAAAGCCTTTTTCTGGCTAGCGTGGCCCCGTGGGACTTAAACATATGGCCCATCCAAAATAGCCAGTGCATAAAGGAAGTTTTGAGGCAAATCAAAAGTTGCCCCTGAACCGGCCCCTGTGGCGTTCCATTCGCAGGGCACGAAGTGCACCCACACGACCTGGGTCTGGTGAGTGCTGGAGGGCGGAGCGACCAGCAGCCGTTCATGGTGGCATTCCTCAAAAGCTCGGGCCAAGCCCACAGCCGTGTGCCACGGGCAACGCGCAAGCGGCACAGCGCCGACGTCAGCTACAGCGACCTAGACGAGCGTCCTTATTTCGGTGGGTCTCCCCAGTTGTTGTTGTCATCCTCATCGTCATCGTTTCAATGCGGAATGTGTTTTATCAGCCGAATTTTATGGGAAAACAGTTATGAAGAACCGTCACGAATGATGGTGACGTTATGTGACTCTGTGACGTCACTATGTCATGTGACTGAGCCAGAGTGTCGCACGGCGTCACGGATGCCAGAGTGTCACACGGCATCACGCGTGACATTGTGAGGTCACGTAACTTTGGCGTAACATGACTGTGACATCATGTGACATATCACGTCACACAGTGTCACGTGCCTCTGTGACGTCACTATGTCATGTGACTGATGTCAGTGTGTGACATGCCATGGCATCACGTGATATTATGAGGTCATGTGTCTGTTGACGCCATGTGACATTGTCATTTTACTTGACTGGGACGTCAGAATCACATGGTGTCACGTGACTGTGACATCACCATGTCATGTGGCCCTGACATCAAGTGTCAAGGTGTGGCGTCACATGACATCACGACGTCGCGTGACATTAGAGGTCACATAGCTGTGATGTCACATGACTGTGTCATCATGTGACATTGTCACGTCGCACAACCTCACGTGACGTCGGAATCACATGATATCACGGTGTCACATGACTAAGACATCACATGACACATTTACACTTTGTATTGTCGTAGTTGTGTGCCCTCGCGATGCCAAGTAAAGTTGCACATATGCCCAGCATGTGCCCGGTTCATTCAGAACAGATTCCATGTTCCCCAGTCTTCGTTGGGACGGTGAAGCTAGTGCATTTTCAGTCGTCTTGAGTTTCTCTTAAAAGTTTGCATTTGGCACATACTGTTTCAAAGAGTCGGTCCCATCCAAGCCGTTCAGCTTGGCGCCGAACGACTGCTTTGTGCCGTCAGTAGTGTAAGCCTGTGAGAGGTGGCTACATTGAATACGTTCGGCGAGAGAGATGCCTGCACGTTGCCGTGATTTGCAAAGGTCAGCTCGGTCGAACGGTCGTCGGTGTAGCAACCGTACCTGATGTGCCACCTCGTATATGTGGGAGGAAGGAACGTAGTATGTTTGTTTTAGACCTTGGGTCCTCGATCCATGCCACACAATAGTGATTAGAGCCATATTCGTTCTGTCTAAACATTAAATCTACTGTCGCTTGGGCCGCAATAGGAGCTTGCAGTATTTTGTAAATTCGAATAAACGAATAAAGAGGCCGCTTTCCGAAGTGACAACACTTCCGTTGTCTCGTTGCTTAGAGCAAGGGTCTGTCGGAAATTGCTGGAGACACTTTTCCGTCCTCTAATAATGTTAAAACGGTCGCTGACAGAGCAAGCCAACATATCGCCCGGGTTTCCCGACACCTTGGGAAGTTCGATAGGTCGCACATTCCATTCGCAACCATCGCCAATCGGACCTGCCCTTCACTAGGCAACAAAATGGCGGTAGCCCTGTGACAGTCGAAGTCTGGGGCGTCGACACCCCATACGTAGCTTGTTTATTGGCTTTAGCATCAATCGCCTGAACGCACGTTGGTGCAGTTACCTTTGGTACCCAAACCGGCAGGTAGTAGAATAATGCACAATCTTTCAATTCAGAACCGTTCACGGTCGAAGCGACAACAAGAAGAGAGACCGAATTTTTGTTGCGAACGTAAGAACACTCTTACAGGGGGGCTCGTTCGATCTACTTGCACCAGCCCGTACACCGGTGCAGAAAGGTGCAGGCCCGCATACTTCCAGCAAGCACTTTAATACAGGCTGCGCTCATAAATCAAAAACGGCGGCGTGCACCAGGTGTGGGGTGGCGTAGGCAAATCGAATGAGCTCGGTGGAATCCGAACGGCAATGTGTTTTGTTTTTCACGGTTGCGTTTCAACACTTCAACTTCTTCGATTTGCTAAACGATGCATTCTCCCCCTTCCCCCACCCTCTCTTTTTTACCTCAATGGCCCAGACACGCGGCCGAGCGGGCGCAGAAACAGCTGCCAAAAGCGCAACCTGTTTGTCAGCTTTCGGGACCTTGGTTGGCAGGTGAGAATTTTCCCATTGTTTTGCATAAAACCCGCGAGCTGCTCCTGGGGGGTGTCACTCACTCGGAGCAGCAGACGGCTTTTGGAGTCGAGCCGTCTGCTGATATTCGGAACAAAAAGACAAGCTTTTTCTCTATTTTTATTTGTAAATAGCACTATATCGCATAAGCAGATGAGTAGAAAGGCTCCTCCCCAGTGCCATCTGGATTCTAAAAAAGTTCCTCTCGGAGATGAAATTCTACTGCAATATGCTCTTAAAGGGAAGCTGAAGAGGCCCTTGAACAAAAGGAGTTAGGGGCAAATTTTGGCGTATTTTTATCCCGTGAATCTGAATATCATGCGTGCTTTCCGCAAAGATGTAACTAAAGGCGAGAAAACACGAAAAACTTCCGACCAATCGTTACGTCATCAAAGGATCTTTCGGCCGCCAAGCGCATGTCGCTCGCGTGCCCAGCACATGCAATTGCAAGCTTTCCAGGTATATTCCCCCGTCACTGACGCCAGTCGTGACGTCTTTTTCTGACTTTTTTTTACAAATAGCAACAGTGCGCGTGCATAGCTTCTATAGGTGCCGAAGACGTGCGAGAGTGTAGGTTCCGGTAACTCCTAGTGTGACGTCATGCTCCGGGAAGGAGGGGCTTCGGTGGTACATCGAAAATTATTTTCGGCAGCCTCTGTGCACCAAATTAAAAAATAATCTCAAAATTCGTGAACTCGAAGGCCGAATGAAGACAACTTTTGTGTTTTTCTTCAAACACAGTACCACCTCAGTTTCTCTTGAAGTCCAGCCTCTGTAGAGATGCGAACGCTCCGGACTAGCTTCTTGGGGGATTCAGTGGGGAGTGCGTGCGCTTTTCGTTCCAGGACTGGATCATTGCACCGGACGGCTACGCGGCCTTCTACTGCCACGGGGAGTGCTCATTCCCGCTGAACCGCAACGCGACCAACCATGCCATCGTCCAGACCCTGGTGCATCTGGTGGACCCCACGCAGGCGCCCAAGCCCTGCTGCGCCCCGACGCGCCTCTCGGCCATCATGGTACTCTACTTCGACGACAACTCTAACGTCATCCTCAAGCGCTACAAGAACATGGTGGTCAAAGCCTGTGGCTGCCACTGATCGCCACCCCGCCGTCTGCGTGCCGTGACGAACCATGCAAGTTCCCGGGCACCGTCGAGGAACGCAGCAACAGACAACTCGTTCCTTGGCGCATATAACTTCAGTGTTTGACGGCGGAGGTTCAAGACCCGAGGCTGCGCATCAGTTTCCAAATGAAGCATCGACTGCAACCAAGCTGTGCTTAGTAATTGTTACTCTGGCAAAAAGAGATAAAAGAAGTCAAGGTACTTGAGCAACCTTCCGGTTCCTAAGAGCCACGTTTGGAGGGCCAGGCTCTAAGCTGCGCTTCGCTTTGCCCGTTGTCTTCCTGTCTGGTAACATCTTTGCCACACGTGTGTCGTATATGTAAGTGTTGAAGTAGTGCCATATTGAAAGTGACCCTTGCTGCGAGTACAAGGGGAGTTGTTGAGGTGTCCTGGTTGGGAGGCGACCCTATGGCCTATTTAGTAGTGCCAACAGCGAAGCTGTTTCTTGTCTTAAGTCGGCTTTCTTTTTTTTTTCTTATTTTAATATTGTTCGGTGCTGCTGGCTTGTCGGAACAAAAAGTTGCGGGTCAGTTGTCAGCTGAGACGTAGTTCAAGGTTTACCGGTCGTGCGTACTAGACAGCCTACGTCGTCACATTTGTGGTGAGCACATCGACGACTTTTGTCTTGCATTGCCTTTACTTAATGGTCTCATTGCCCCTTTCAATAACTCAGTGAGGGTTCCAAAGCTTTGCGATGCGGCAAAAAAGCAAATACTTAATTACTGAGGTTGCACCGTGGAATTGTTTTTGAACCTCATCATCCTTGGAGAATGACATGGGCTCTGATGTGTTGCAGTGACCACAATCGTAGTTGTAGCCCAGTCACACTTGCCACAGCCCTATCATTGCCTGTGGTGGTATTCTCTCAAGCTCAAGGCCATTTGACGAGAGACTTTCATTTACCACAGTCACGAAAATACGTTTTCTTCAATTCATTAAGCCATGACATAGTTAGTCGAACCAAAGGTTTCAAACCCTGGTCCAGTTTTGAATTTAGTCCTGCAGTAGTAAACTCTTTCTTAAACAATAGAATTCAAGATTTTTTTTTTTTTTTGTTCTAATATAAGTTGTTTTAGAGTTTCCAGAAAGTATTTCAGCGGTTAATCTTTCAACGTCGTTGTTACACTTGTTACACATTGGTTAACTATAACATGTGGGCAGTGACTGGAAGGATATATAGATGGATACATTTGAGCCCCCTTAGCCATGTGGTGGCATTCATCTCGTAGCCAGTGTTCTCAGCTTTATTGGCTAGTACCCATCTGATGTGCAAGATGTTAAAGTCCGTAGTGCCAGTGCCATACAGCAAGCATTTCCGGAAACATTGTGTGAGAAGAAAGGACGTGATCACCATGTTGAAGACCGTTCTTTGCCAGCATTCACAGTGTTTTGAGCTGGTTGTTTTATGCAACAGAAAACGGCCACAGCTGGTATGTTACAGCAAACAAAGTCTACCATAGTACTCATTTACCTTCCTGGGATTTCCTAACACACATTTTTCTTAACAGCTTTAAAGAAAAATGGGCCATTGTAATGCAATAGCGTTTAATAGCAAACCACTTCCTGTTTGGGGGATAACAGACACGCAATACTCGATGCCTGCTTTTTAGCTGTGTTGAATGTACCTTCTTCAACTGTCACAGGTGGGGCAGAAATGTACCTTCTTGAACTGTCACAAGCAAGCCACAAATACAGAATGAGTGTCTCTGGGTGTTCTTTTGTTTGAGACGTTTGTTTTGCATTTGTTGCTCGTTTGTGTGAGAACCTTGGGATCGAGGTGCTGGGTTAAATATTTGTTAAAAATTTGTTGTTACTTTTTCTTACAAAAAAGAAAAAAAACCTGCAATTTTGTTTTGAATTTGTACGGTTCCTGGAGTGCCTGAAGTGAGCTCCTCTTGTGTTCATGTTCTTTTTATGTTGCCAGGTGTTTTGTAGAGTCTGACTGCAACCGTTTCCGGCTTGCTGGTGCAACACGGTACTTGCCTTAAACAGGGGTCCAGTTTTTACCCCCTATTTTTTGCATGCGATTGGAAGGATGTTTTGACGTGTGGTGACCCATATCATTGAGCTGCCATTCAGAATGTGCCATGTTTTTTGTGCTATTTGATGGCCAACAGGCATGTAGTAGGCTTTCAGGCCCTGTGGAACTTAACGTGAGCAGTCTGGATCAAGTACTTTACCATGCATTTTTTTTAAGGATTTGTATTTTTATATTTGCATGTGCTTTTTTTTTTTATCTGTTATCCAGTGATATTAGCTGTTTTTACTATTTTGTTTCATGATATTCATTCATGTGTTTTAAAGATGTATTTTTATTACTTCCTTTTTTTTTTTATTACTTTAGTATGCATTTTACAGGGAGAGAGTTTGAAGAGTATAATGCTTCAAATGTTGCATTTGGCATTGAATAAATATTTTTTTTACATAAGTTGTTGCCTCGTGTAATTATTTGTGTATAAATAAACTGTAGTTCTTGCTTCGGCGAGCGTATGTGAAAGTAATCGTTGTTTTAAAACAAACTACTAATTGCCAATGTTTTTTTTTTTTTTTTTCATTTTTGTATTTTTTTACATGTGTCACGTTGAGTTCGCAGCAGACCGAAGCTGGGCAGCTAAATCAGCAAACTTTTGGGAACAAATTTCGACCCGTAACTCGAAACCTTTGGCAGACGGCACATTCGGAATTCCCATAAAGTGACATTTAAAAACACGTTTAAAAAGCCTGGGAAAAAAATAAATAAATAAAGTGCCGTGACGTAACGATACGTCACTGGTTACCCATGCTACTTTGCAGTTTTAACATGTCGTCCGCCATGTTTTGAGGCATCTCCCAAACGGTCCCTCAAATCCACTCCATCCAGGTAATTTCTTCGATGATACGGGGTTAGTTTACGAAAAATAAAGTTTCCCACTTCGTTGCGGAGCTTGTGCTTCCGTTTGTGTGCAGTGCAACTTTTTTCCAAACAACTCCGGGGGCACTCCCCGCAGGGCTCCCTGCATGTTTTTGTAGTCGCCATAACTGCATTGTCTTATGAAAGAAGTTGCGTTGCGTACAATTTTTTCGCCGCCGGAGCACAGTTTCGCTAACGAGTGAGAAACGTCGCGCGATCATTGTTCCTGTGAGCAGGTGGGACGGCCACAAACTGCGGCCGTGCTCTTGTTTTTCGCAGCGTGAATGAAGTGGTTTGGGCAAGGAGACCAGCAGCGATGCTCGCCAACGGCCAAGACATGAACGCCGTTGCCAGTGTTCGGCACGGGGCAACTCGATCGCAAGACGATGCGATGGTTGGATACTTCTTTCAACGTCCACAGAGTGATCCGGATTTCCAAAACTACAACAAACAGTCCCGCTGGGCGTTGGGCGACGACAGTGTACTCGAAGTAAGTGGACAACCCCCCCTCCAAAACCTTCACAACTTTCTCTCGTCGCTCAGATCTCTTGTTTACACTCCGCTCGCATCAAAACGACGCGTATTTCTTTGTTTTCATCGTTCGAGGTTCGTCCCAAATAGTGATCGTGCCGATTTTGGACGGTAGCACCGGCATTCCTGATCGTACTGGTAGGCCTACGCTTCACTGTTTTGTTTGTTGTGATCGTGACTAATGCGCCGATCCTTCGCGAATCCTTGGATCCACTGCTTGGCGCAGTCTATCATACGTGAATCAGAAAGTTTATTCACCCATTGTTTCGATCGTACTGCGTGTTTTTGCGCGGCTAAAGCAAGGCCGCGGTAATTCCTCTCACGTTGGGGGGGGGAAAATTTTTTTCGTTTGTCCTTGCTAGAGTACGACGGTTCACTCAACCCCCAATCGTTTTGTGGGGTAGCCAAAATAGCTACGCGGCATCAACCGTTGATTCGTAAACGTTTTATTTCACGTCACGTTTCACGCAAAAACCAGCGCGAAGTGTATTGTATGGATCGAGCGTTTGAACGGGCCGTCGTATCGTATTTCACGGTGTCTGTCGTGCGGCGCGGTGCTGGGAGAGGCGAGAAAAAAAAGAAAAGAAAAAGAAATATCTTCGGTCCTCCGTCGCTAGTGAATCACTTTGCCGCCGTTGGTTTCGCTCGTCGGATTTCGTGTGTCGCTCTTTTTGCGATCGAATTAACATACGTAAAATACCCGTCGCGAGCTTCACTGTCGCCGTCTCGGTATTCTAGGATCGGTAAGCCTAACCAGCAAACAAACAGCGAGCGTTCTGTCCGATTTCGCTTCTTGTTGGACCTGACAGTTTCCGCTGCTACTATTAGCTTCGCTAACCGGGTAGTGATTGTGTTTTTAGACAAGTTGAAAGCACCCTTACGTTTGAAGCATGACTCGGAGGTTTAAGTTTGTTTCAAAAGTTACCTCACCGTGACGCAACAGCGACATTTTGCTCGTGTGCGAGTTAAACCCACAGGGCGATCGGTGATTTGCGCAAGGTTTCCGTCGGCAATATAAGGACACACACAGAATGCAGTCCAATTTCCCAATACGTCGGTTTGGAAGGAATAAGTCCAGTAAAATGAGGCCACCCTCGTACAAGGGCTGTCGAAACACACCTATCCCTTTGGCTGGGTATGGTGGAATGGAATTGCATAGAAGACATTCACTGACATGATTCTAGAAATTTGAACCATTTCAGCGAAACGTATGTTGGCATATTTCTGGCATTGCACATATACATTAGTACTTCTGAACAAACGGTAGGCTGCAGCAAACCTAAAATATGGGCGAATGTCGTCATGTAGGCAACATAAGGTTATTATATAGTAACTTGATGTGATCACTGTAAGAACACTCGCCCAAACTATTACAAATCTTGAAGAATTAAGACAAAACCCTCCACTGTAGTCAGGATTGACAGGTTATGTCTGTCAGTAACTAAGGGTCCTGTGCTCACTGGTTCTATGCGGACCTGCTGTACGTAATGGTGTAAGCGCCTAGTTTCCGAAACTCTTTCATGGACTGAAGTTCTCAACGACAACTCCCATTAAATTTTATGTTTTTGATCAAGGATTGCTAGGCACCATCGGAAGCACAAAAGCAGTTCTCTCGAGTCTTTTCAAGCATCGTCGACATTGTAATGTTAAAACGGTAATGGCGCAGGCGAGCGGTGTAGATTTACCATCTTCAGCCACCCGAGGCTGGGCGGCGGATACGAAGAATCCAAAGTGGTAGAGAAGGGAACAGAATGACAGGAGGCAACATCTCAGAGGGTTTAGGAAAATTGTAATGTTGTTTATTGGTCAACTGGCAGGTAAGACTGCTTGTGGAACACACAGATCTCTGTGCAAACACTATAAAGAAGTGTTGAGGCAGGTTGCAAGTCGCCAACTGTCATGGAACGTTGTACGTCTGCCCGTGCACCTATTGTGGCTCTGCATGTTCTCTTCGTGTGCCACTCGGACCTGGTCAGAAACTTGTTCGTTAAATTAATGACATCTTGAGTTTGCAACATCTTTTGATATTGGGATGGTACCCTGGAGATGACAACTTTTTAAAGGATTAAGTCTACCCCTTTTCTGAAAATCATAAAAACAATGTTGGAATGTCGTAAAAATATGGTGCCGAATATCACGAAAAGGTCGTGCCAAGATGGAGAGAAAAATTGTGCCGAGGACATGCAGGTGTGCTTTTATTAAAGTTCAGTGGCCACATTTTTTTAAGCAGTAGCTGTGGCCTGGCATCATTCACTGTCCCACTTTCGTTGAATTTCAGCACATACTTGGAAGAAAGCAAGAAGTGGACAATGAAATGCGCTGCACATTTCTGGGCCCTTGTGAATGCAGAAAAAAAAAAAAGTAAAGTAAGAATACAGAACAGCTAGCAGTTATTGGTTTCAGACACTTTGCCAGGGGGACACTTGCAGATCACAATCTACAGGATACGCTTTCGTCTTGGTGCCAATTTTAGCTATGAGCAAGACATGCACTGCCCTCTCACAGAACTTGTACCACTCGTTAAATAAAGTGTACATTCCATTTAGCGCTAGACAGTCTAAACTATGTTGATGTGAGGAATGTCGTAACACGTAAATGAAACACTACCATACTTCAACTCCCAACTTCCGGAAACACTGGAGTATCCAGTGGCTACGTCGCAATTTTGTGTATTTTTTTCCTGTATGGATGGATGATATTGGCTATGCCCCTTGTAACAGGCAGTAGCTTGCACCACCTAGCCTGAGAAAGCGATTTCCTCCCCCACTTAAATACCCAATTTCTTTCCCTATACATCCCTGCAACTATCACCGGGCCGGGGGAATGAACCACCAGGTGTTGCCTACGCTTTAGGCTTCTTGTACAGGTGTCGCGTGATCCACTTCATGGGCAACTTTTGCTTGTGTTTGACGGGCACCTAGCCACCTAATTAAAGACGCGATTTGACGGGCGTGGTGTTTAGAGCAGTGAACATAGCCTATAGACACACTGATGCAGCCTACAGACACACTGATGCATGAAAGCGAAAATTTCATTGAACTTGTCCTTCGTGCCACAATAGTTTCCAAGGACTCTGAGTAAGCATCTCTGTGTGACTTTATGACCAGATGACTTCTCAAACCTATGCGTTTTACTCATACACTTGTCATTATTACAGCAGCTAAGAGCCTTATTATTCCTTATACACAACTTTGGCATCCATTTATTTGTGTATAAAAAATACAAGATAGAATATAACAACAGAAAAAATATTAATTTTTTTTGTGAATACCATTTTTTCATACTGTGGTCACTGTTTGCTTATTTGATTTGCAATGCAGCCTTCTATCTCTGTGAGCAGAAATTCAGTTTAATTTGTTTCCTAGATATTTCCGTTGTTCAGCGTTACCTCATGCTGTGTTTATTTGTTTATTTAGCAATAGGACAATTGAGTTGGAACAATCATACAGCTGTGTCTTGGCATCATGACATTGCTGATGTGCGGCTGCTTTCTATTTTAGCTAACCAGTCATTTACATACACCATTCATAAATATTGACTGGTTCACTATGTGCGACTAAACTGCAGTCGTCTGCCATATTTCAGTGCAGAATGTGTAGAGGGTTCGAGCAGGCGTAATGTGTTGCAGGTTTGTGGTTAGCAAATGTTTGGAGTAAAGTCCCTGACTCTGTTTACCTTGTTTCGCAGACTGCTGACATTCTTGGACAAATTCAGTAGTCAATTCAGAACAAACACCAGGTGACTGTAGGTGTTTGAGGTCCTTTATTTTGTTGATGTGGGCCGATTAGAACCCACCTTACCAATACAACTAGCCTCTGCTTCGGGCCTTTTTGGCTTCAGCCAAGGGAACCAATATGCCGGAAAGCGGGAAGGAAAACAATCGGTGTGGGGGGCATTCATGCCCTTAAGAATAAGTGAACAAACAAAAACAATGGCGTTCATGACCGAGTGCTTTTATAGAAAGGGACGTCCATATCAGATAGGCCTTTGTTCGATGTGAAGGTCAGCAGTGTCCTTTCAGTGGCGTACGTAGAGAGAACAAGAGACCAACCACGCACAGAGGTTTTTTGTTTTTTTATGTAAGTGTACATAAGGGAGTCGCTTCCTGGGACAAATGTGTCTAAAATAACAAGGTACAATCTGCAAGGGACTCGTTTTTATTAAATTTTTTGACGGTCAGGATTTTTCCCCAGAAGAAGTTTCCCAGTGGTCGGGTTTTGTTTCCAAAGAAATAGTATAAAGAAAGGGTAAATTCACAGGTCTGAATCATTTAGCAGGAGCACATCATGGGCTTGCACGCTGTTTGTTACCCTTTCATTTAGTTTTATTTTGGTGTGTCCGCTTCTGCGACATTCCAGTGCCTTGAGATTCCTAACCGGAGGTACTTTACAGAGCTTTTCCGTGGGATGATGGGCTCTCGTCCTCCGAATTTAATTCCGAAAAGCTCCGGGAAGTTTGAATTGAAAGTGTCAGTGCTCCCATTGGCACTACAACCGATGTGCAAAGTGAGCATCATGTGTGCGGAACGTCTAATTTAAAAACAAAACAAAAAAAACTTTAAAATAGCTCAGCGATGTGAAACAATGTTCGAATCTAATTTTTACTGTTCACCAAAGACATAACAAAAAGCAACACCTCCCGCAGTGTGCTCAGTTTTGCGTTCAGGTGAGCACCTTCAAATATGTAACCACCGCTGTACGTGTATGACGACTGTCAAAGGGTTAATGAGTCACGATTGATGGAGTAGTTGAAATCGGTGAAGATGTCTCTAAGGGCATAAGTGCACTTAACATCTGCACCGCTGCATATTTGATTATTTTTTCTTTATTTGTTTTGCGGATTTGTTTCCGCAGAGGGGGCAGAGATAAAGGCACAATGCCCGACATAGCCTGTGCCTCCCCATCGTACAATCCAACTTAGGAGCAACAAAAGTTTAAACCAATGAAATAACCGCTGTAACGAAATAAAACTCACTATGAACAGAGAACATAAATGAATGTGTCGGAAATAAACGTGAAATGAAACTTATACAAAACAGGTCCAGCAATTATTTGAGAATGAAAACATCTGCACACCGTTGATGCGCAAATGACAAAATTTGTCATTTGCGAGAGATACAAAAAAAGGCATTTGGCATTTGGGTGCTTCTTCATGTAGAACCTGCGGAATCTTTGTTTGCTAAGGTGGCAAGTTGGCCCGTGCTGTGGGTTGTGCTAAGCATTCTGGGTTCCCCCTCCGCTAATGCACTTTTGTTCTTCGTTCCAGGCCAGGGGCACAGAAGCACCAGAGCTGGAGACAGAGTTCCAGGCTCTTGCCCTAGAGACTAGTCATCAACTAGAGGCAAGTCACTCCTAGTTCCTGTGCTCTTCTATTTTAGTGTACTTGCCAGCCTTTTCCGTCAGCCTAAAATGTGCCAATTCATGCTGACTTTACACCTTGTTGGTTGCGAGAGGGGCTTCATTCCAACAAAGTTTGTCCAGAGACGAAACCCTCTAACCTCAGATTGTGAGCGAACAAGGAATTGCGGACAACCTGAGTTTCATTTTAATATGGGCATGGTGTAAGATATATATAGGGAGTATTCACTGGCATCCATAGCTGTGTGCACTACTGCTGAGCGCATGCTGATGGCGAGCTTCCACGGTTCTTTTGCAATGTGGATTCTGCACCATCAAGATTGCCGGTTTAAGTGGTCTATTAGTGTGAGCTCGTTCTGAACATGCATTCTTAGCAGCGCGCTCAAATATGGCATCCTGTGAATGCGTCTTAACGAAGTGGACACAGCGCGCGCCACCGCTGCCAAAGTACTCTCCTCGGCTTGGTTGCAAGCGGTGCCACCAGGCGATTCTTTGGTACACTGCTAGTGGCAACCTGTCACAGCCCCGGTTTCCCATGCTTCTCTATGGGAGACATACCTGTTTTTAATGTCGTTTTTTGGGCATGCCTCATGTCGAACTTTGCGCTTGCGCTGCACGCAATGCTTACTTGCTTAGACACTGCTTCGTCACTGACTCTAGTTTCATCCTTTAATGGCGCCAACAACAGTTTTGCAAATACATTCAAGCGGAGAGACCACTGGTGTGGTGTTCGGGTCAGTGTCCTTCATTAGAGCAGACACTCTGAACGGAAAGAGCGCGCGCCCAGGTGCCATGGGCACAAGACACTTTTTTCTTTCTTCTTTTTTTTATTTTTTTCTCTCAGTTGCATTGTTTGGACGGCAGAGTCACTGTTGACCGAGGCCACTCAGGCGCACGCCAATGAAACCTTTTTCGGTCGATCTCGTGCAAGCGTTAGCCATGTGTGTCCTCAGCCATACAAGGTGTCCCGCGTAACCTTAGCCACGCTTTAAAAATATTTTGGTCTATCTTAAGAAGAAGATACCAAAGGAATAAGGTTGTTCATTCTTTGGAGCAAGTCGGGCTATTTTTGTATTTTGCCCAGTTAACTAATTGAGACTAGTTAGTTAACTTTTGAAATATCCAATTTAAAGCAAAACTTTCAATGACAAAGTTGTAGGGCGTGCTCAGAAAAAACATCCAATTCAGTGGTTTTTATCAAGAAACCTTAACACAGTCCTTTTGCCTAAACTTGAAACATGCAAATTATAAAAAAAAAAAAGACAAAAAAGAAATATGAATTTGTTAAGAGCACCCTGTCAATAGTGCTTTATTCAACATCCGGGCCTAGTTTATTCGAGCCACGGCTGAGAGCACTGCAATACGAGGCGCGCAAGCATAAAGCCACATGTTTTTTTCGTAATAGGTTGGCTTTTATTGAAGTCCAGAAAAAAAGAACCGTGTTAAGGTTTCTTGATAACAACCACTTCATTGGATGTTTCTGAGGACGGATGCTCTACAACTTTGTCATTGGAACTTTTGCTCTAAATTGAATATTTCAAAAGTTTATTAATTAATCATAATTAGTTAATTGTTCAAAATACAGAAATAGCCTGACTTCTCCCAAACAAGGAACAGAATTATTCATTTAGTGTTGTCTTCCTAAGATACACCAAGATAGTTTTAAAGCTTGGCTAATGTTATGTGGAACACCCTGTATATCTTGCTCCGTGGACGTGGGGAACACAATGCCAGACTGAATTTAGGGCTTTTTGATTCTTATAACAGGTGGGATGGTTGCGTGTCCCATATTTCAGAAGACGTGGACAAAGCTTATGGCACAGCTTGTCTTTAGAATCGAGTGGTTGTATGCAACTATTGCTCAACCTTGTTGCGTAACTATGCAGTCACGCTGCTCAGAAACTAGAGAAAAATGTACAATGCGCCACACTTACGACAAATTTTTCTTTTTTGTGGTACGAGTGAAATATGAGGAGTTTATTTATTCCACAGTACGCCTTCATCAGACTTGGCATCAGCCATTCTTTTGTCCCTACCCCCCGACACAGGCCTTTTGAATATTGAAGCGTTGTGGTTGGCAGGCGTGACAGAAGCCTGGTAGCGCGAATAAGTTTCACTTCAGAGTCGCGTCATTTCAACTGCAATGTTGCGTAGGTTAAGTGTTGCCGACCGTCACCCTCTAGCTTTAGCTGATGTGTCCAACGAAAGATGCAAGGAATGCTTTTTGCCGTCGTGCCCGCCAGAACAGTCTGCAGCGCAGCAAAATCTGATCGTTGGAGGCTCCTAATGCCGCGTCTTAAACTCGAAGTGCCGCATTCGAGAATTAGTCTCGATTGCCGACAGTGACCATCCAGCGCCCGAGAAATAAGACAGTGGCGTCCATTAGCCAGTTTTGCGTATGTAAGTGTCACTGGACACGAATGGACGAACAAAGCACTTAGCTTTGTTGCGAGCCTGGGTGACGTGTCAAAGAGGATCGGTGGCTGTCAAAGAGGATCGGTGGCTGCATGGTCTAACGCGTCTCAGCCCGGAGTGTAGAGCGAAAGCTTGCGCTGCAGAACCTCGTGGGTTCCATCCTCGCCCCCTGCTCGTTTCAGTCTGGATGAGTTTCGTACCGGTACACGTTTGTGTAATCACTACTGAGTGGTGCACGTTAAAGACTCCAGGTTAGCGGTTGCACTGCACTGGCTAAATTTTTCATCTACAGCTAAGAGACACGTCACCCATTGAAGCGTATTTGCATCAAGGCCGTCTAAACATACAAGCAACACAATTTCGGTGATGTGTCCCGCCGTCCGCCCGCAGATCCCGGCGTCGACCAAGAAGCTGTGGGCCCTGGAGGAAACGGGCCCCAAGCCCGAGGACAGCAAGGGCATCTTCCTCGGGGACCAGTGGAGGGATCCAACGTGGAGCACAGGGGGTCACCCCAGCACGTCTGGCAAGTACCACTCTATTTCTTTTTTTGAACGCAAAATGCAGTTATCAGCTTGATTTGGGTGTGAAAAGCGTTCCACTCGAGTGTAACAAAAAGTTGCCCCACACGGGCCAAGGCAACGTAAAGGATACATGGCCCACATCGGGCAATGCGTAAGCGTATGGAGCATATGGGAGCATACTTAGTAGTCATAATTAGTTAGCTTTATTAAGCGGCACGGCGGGAAGCGAAGCCCGAACTGTGCGCACCGCAACTCAACGTTTTTCCTCGGTGCCACTAGGAAGCGGCGAACGGGAGCGGCTACTGGTACGTAGGGCTAGCAAACAATCACGCTTGTCTTGTGCGTGAGGTCGTCGTTCATTCCAAATTACTCTACCTGCGATGATTTAAGAGATTCGAGCTCGGTTTACCGGTGCCCTGCGGAAGCGCGTCTAGCCCATTGTCGTTGCGAAGTTTCTCGGGAGTATGCGTGTTCGGAGAGCCGTTCACACCTACTCGTTAGAGCACCTGGTCGTAAGAAAACGAACAGTGACTATGGGTCACACGTGCATCTACTGTAAAATCCCATAAGGACGCCCACCCAAAATGAAGAGATAAATAGTGAAAAACATTGGGTGGGCTATCTTTGGGGATGCCGCAGCAAAACTATAAAAAATTAATGATAAGCACCAGGGCACCGCTACAAACCACATGATGCGGGAACTGATACCGCAGATCGCGGACATTGCGAATTCACATTTAACGATGCGATAAATATGCGGGAATTCGCTATAAAACTCCTGTCACAAGAGGAGATACTGCAAGTGGCTGATGCAGTAGATTCGCATTTCACGGTGCGAAGGACTCGCGGAAACCCACCGAGAACTCGCATTTCACGGGAACGGATACTGCAGATCGCAGACGCAGCAAATTCAAGTTTCATGGTGCAATAAAGACGCGGGAACTTGCTACAATGTTGCCTGTCACGGAAACAGATATCGTGTGCGCAGATCGTTGACAAAAACGCGGGAATGCGCTCTACAAACTCGGCGTGTCACATAAACAAATACCGCAGATTGTGGGCGCAACAGAATCGCATTTCACGATTGGGTGGAACGGCTGCGCCATTTGTGCCACTTTGCGCCTGACGCATGTGTCTGTGCCATCCTGCACCATGTTGCTGAAACTGCGCCACATCCAATACCTCGCGCCATTATGCGCCAGATCGCAAAACGTGCACCAAAAAAACTTATTTTGTCTTGGTTTCGGTTTTATTGACTCGATTGGCCACAATGAGTGCGTTTAGCCTGGTCGGCCTTGCAATCCTTTTTTCTGTTTTTTCTCCCTGTGTATCCCGAGTCGGAAGCACGCGAAAAAAACTTTAATTCTAAGTGCTACACCACCTGCGACTGGATTGTTATTCTTTAACCATAAGCAGTTAAGCAAGTCGGCTGAGGTGATTAACAATTAACATTGCTCCCGTGCTTATCTAAGACACGAGCTGAAGTGCAATGAAAACTGAACTGACCTGCTCCTAGCCTGCTCCAGAGCATAGTTTTAGCTGCTCCCAACCTGCTTCAAAACAGCTGTTTCAGCTGCTCCCGTGGCTGCTCCCAAGTACATTTCATGAATTCCACCCCTGAGGATGCAATATACACGCGGGAACGAGTCGTGCGTGTTACAGCTAAGAATCAATATTGCGCGCATAGATCCCGGACAAAAACACGGGAATCCGCTACGAACTCGAGAACAAATACTGCAAATCGCGACCGCAGCAGATTCGCATTTCACAATACAATATACACGCGGGAACAACTCTCATGTTACGGGAGCCGATATCATGCGCAGATTGCAGACAAAAATGCAGGAACCCGCTATGAACTCACTTCTCGGATGTACTGGAACTACAGATTGCACCGTTGATGCGTGGTTCGCATTGGACATCGCTTGATGTCCAACGGGAAATGGGGTGGGGGGGGGGGGGGGGGGGGTGATGTTTCGGAATTTTTATGTGACAGATATTTAGCCAGAAAAACGGGATGGGTGATCTTTCAGGAGAGGGCGTCCTTACGGGATTTTACAACAGGCAGAAATAAGGAAGTAACTGACAACAGTAAGAATGTCGCACAACACACGCCAAGAACATTGGGTAGAAATGCACCTCCCACACAATTATGCGCGGACACCAAGAGCACGTGACGACAGCTTTTAAAGGAAGATCGCAGTGAATTGTGATGTTGCATGAATACTTACTTTGTGTGACATAGTTCTGGCTCGAAATCTTGATGGACAAACTTTTGCCCTGTGTCTTTCTATGCGCGGAGGCTGTTTTCCAGCTCGCTCGAGCTCTTTTGGGTCATGATAGATAATGCCAGCCGGAGCAGCTGGCAACTTCAACGAGCGTCGGCCAGTACTCAATCCTTGTTGGCGGCCAAAATGTTCCCAGTAGATGCCACCGGGGCGACTTTGAAAGGACTTTGAAAGGCGAGGAAAAAGCGGAGCGGTTCGGAGTTTATGTGGACCAAACACATCCATGATCGTACGTGTCAAGTTGTGTCTACTGAGTGACTCGCCATGCTTGCAGATTTCACCAACATCGAACGCAATGCCAATAGACAATCGTCTGTGCGCAAACCGAGAAGGAAAGTGGCGGACGCCATTTACCGGCATGTCGAAATGCAGCTTGCCAGAAATAAAAGTGTTCTATTAAATTGCCCGTGGGATATCCCTTTCATCAAAGCGCTGAAAGGAGATGGCACTGCATTTTGTGTTCCCACAAACTTCCGGTCAAGCGAGAGGACAAGCAGTGTCACTACGGTGAGCGAGAGATTTGTGGGAAATTTTTTTTAATAGTTTCTTATAACGACTGGCCCCATCTTATATGCTGAATATAGCATCACGAAGAGCTCCCTAACTTCCCAACTCCGCGATTTCGGTAAAACTTCGTTGTCCTAGGAATTGTGACATCTACAGGCTTTGAAAGTCTGCTGAAACAGAGCGATCAGAGGTCTCTTTAAAGGTCAGAGATGGCTTATGTTTGTAAACATGAAAATGGTCTATGTACAGATAGAAACTGAGGTAGTGAAGGAGAGCGTGCGGGGACGGTTGAAATGGTTAGTGTGTAGACGCAAACAGCGAATTGAGACAAAGGCGGCTAGCCTTCGCATCTATCCACTAAACATTCCAGTCTGAGCTGGGTGCTCTGGTGTCCCCGCACGCTTTCATCTCCTCCTCTCCCTCGGTTTGTATCCGTATAGACCAGCATGTTGTTTACAAAACAAGTCAGCGTTTGGCCGTCTCGGGTATGGGCACTGCGCACGCGCCACGCCGACAACAGCGCCACTGCTGTGGCACGGCGTCAAGCCCGCACATTGGCGTACGGGTTCTCCCTTTCTTTGTGTTCCCTCTCCCTTTTCCCCAGTCTTTCTCTTCCCCGCCGGGTGCTGAGAAAGGGTCCTGGGTCTTTCCCTCACACAGGGGTGTCGTCGTCGGGGTTTCCAGAGCATGCGGTGTCGCAGCCCATCATGGTGCAGCGGCGCAGCGGGTCGTACCCGGGCAGCGACGGAGCCTCGATGCTGTCACCCCGCTCCTCGGAGACCTCTGGCCTCGGCGTCAAGATGGTGGAGTACGTGCTGGGCAGCTCGCCCACCATCAAGGACCTGGACGTGCGCATGGGCCGCATGCACGTCGGACCCCCCGTGAGTCGGGCCGCTCTGCTTCGCGCGGTTGCGCGGCACCACTTAAAAGACTAGGCTTTTTCCCCCTCAAACATCGTCACTATACTTGCAAGTGTCTACACTGCAAACAAATAAAAAATTGCTTTTTTTTTTTTTTTTTTTCAAGAATTTTTATAGAAGGCATTGTTTAAGGTCACATACTCGTGCCCAGGCCTTTGCCAGTGCTGCAGATGTTTGTGAGGTGGAGTATTTACTCTGTTCACCCCTGAGCTGACGGTATGGTGAAAGCTATGTCCTTGTTCGACCAGTCATACATCTGTCTTTCGCCACATAATGACGCTACCACCTAGAGCCACGTGCATGGAGCAAAGTTGGGTGACGAAAGGGAGGTGGTTGATTGGTCCAGTGAGCAGACGAGTTTCATTGCGCTGTCATCTTTAAGGTGAACGGACTACAGTAGATCCACGCAGCGCCGCATAGCTTGCGTCGGCATCACTGCTATAGTCGGTTACAAGTCAAGAAGGTAGGAGAAGCTCCTCCCACAAGTGTGATGCGCCCGTTTCAAATCTCTCCGCAGTCGAAAGAAGAGTTCACTGGAAACGCTCCTTGTTCCGCTTCAATGGATTCTCACTTGTCTCCGATCCCACTTTTTAAGAAAGCGACCTTTGTATTCATCGGAGAGGGAACCGAGCCCCTGAAAGCAGCCTTTGTATCCATCGGGGGGGAAGCTAATCCCCGAAGGTCGTATTTGTTTCCGTCAGTGGGGGAGAACTCTAATCTCCCTCTCGGGGCTTCCACAATGCTAAGTAAAAGTCGAAAGATAAAGCAAATATGTACAGAAAGGCAAGCCCTTCCTCGCGCGTTGACCGCGACGTCACGGAAACGGTGGGACGCTATTGGATGCGGAGGTGGCGGAGGGATATCTGATTCCCTTTGAGGGGCATTTGCCGCTACCTTCTTAACCTGTAACTGACTATAGTGCTTCTCGCAGAGAGGATTGAGACAAGGTAGAATTATTGTATTTGTTGGGAATCAAGAGAGTTTTGGAACATTTCTAGAACTCATATTTTTGTTATTGCTTTTGAGCAGGTTGACAGCAGTTCACGTATGACACTGAGCTGTCCTATGTGTGCACAATTGAAGATTAGAAGAGGCTAGCTAAAATTGGCTCTCTCTGAAATAAAGCGACAGTTAATAACATATTTTTAGAAGTATTTCTTGTTTCTTTTTTAGGGGTCTGCGTGCTGCTCCATTTTTGTCCCAAGGTCCTTTTAGTTTGAATACTTTTCCACAAAATACTGCCTCGTGAAAGCTACCGAAAACCACCAAAATTTTTGCTATCAGTCTGACCAAACGGTCATCGGGCATCGAAAGTTGTCGACGGAGGCAACTGCCTTCACATGCTGTTGAATTGCCCTGAGCCGGTTCTCGGCCTCTTGCGTGCAGAATGTCGGTGACCCGGACAAGGTGAAAAAGGGCAAGGAGGGCAAGCTGAAGGACGTGGATGGCCGAAACGCCGTGATGCAGGCAAACGGCATCATGCACAATGGCATCGACGAGGACAAGGTCTACAAGTGAGTGCTCGGGACGCTGTCCTCTCGTTGTGCGTCCACTGCACGCGCTGCACGGGGACACAGACCACCGGAGAGCCAGTAGCTCTTCGATTGTTTTTTAGTGCACTTTTACTACGACTGTTTGGGCAAACGGCGTCGGCGTAGATTGAAAAACAGTACCTCTGGGGATGGAGTTGTTCCTCGTGACAGCAGGGGTGCTGCGCACTCTGCTACATGCAGGCTGTACAGGATCGCGCTGCACACGGACAATAGACTACTTCCATAAAGCCCTGCATGCAACACGGCGCGCGTTGCACTCTGGGAACTAGTTGGCCAGGGAGGAGGGTGGCATGGTTTCGGTTTCGATCGACACGTCGACAAGAGATTGTTTTCTGGTCCCGAGAGCGTCATTTGTGGTCTCGAAACTAGCCTAAATGGCCAGACCTCGAAGCTTTAGCACAAGCCCGAGACGTATAGCTTGTCTTAACACATGCTTGTTGTATTTTTGTACTTGAGCCTTCCTGTTAGCGCTCCAATCGAGGTATGTGGACGAGCCAGTGCTGGGAGTCTCGACGCTGCGAAGCTCGGGTGCTCGGGGATCTTGCTTGTGTACGAATCAACAAGCTGTAGCAAACAATAAGTATGCATATATCGAGCTCGCGCCTTTACATTAGTGTTGTTGATCAGAAAGTTTGTTTGCTTCGTGCGTCCATAGACGAAATATTTCTTTTTGCAATTACTGTTTTTCTTAATGTGCCTGATTATGCGAGGTAAAACTCGGAGGTGCCATCGAAAAGCTCAATTTTAAAACACTTCTTATCTCTTATCTGTACTGACACGCAGCACTGCACGAAGTGAAGTCCCCACCTGCTTGCATTTCACTAATATTCAACATCGCGTATGCGCATAAAGTTATCCTGAAATCATATAGGCACATTCGCGCATACAGACCGTTTTAAGAATGCAAAAGTCGAGCACTTGTGTGAAGAATGTCGCACCGTTCGCCGGAAGTACGTCAGACGGGCATGAACCGCTATGCGCACCGCATTGGGGTTCATGCCCGTCCGGCGCACGGTGCGACATTCTTCAGACAAGTGCTCGAACGAATTCAAAGCGCATTTGACGGTTGGTAATGGCCATGATATTTGTTATGTGTTTGCTTTCTCTCTGACTGAGTATGCCGAGATAATTTCAGACACCGTTCCCGGCACAGATCTCGGGCGTCAGTAAAAGCTCGTCCAAAAAGGCTAAGCGAGGAGTAGGGGACGCTTGTTAGGGCCTCCGTCGTAGCTAGCCGATCTTAGCGTTTGCGAAAAGTTAACCTTCTATCAGCATAAAATTTGAGTGGGAGATATATGATGACACGAGGAAGACATCATAGTAACTTTTGTGCAGTAGTGAGGTCGAATTTATTGCGTTTCCTTAAAAGTTCATGCGTAAACGCTGGCCTCAACTTTGATACCCTGTGAGGATGCGGCTTGCTTTTTGCCCAGTGAAGTAACAAGAAGCGGACGTTTGGCAAACAAAATGCGTGTAAGGCTCCAGACGAACAAATTTCAGTTGTAGTTCACTGGTACTAGACGGGATTACTGACATTGAGCTCAAAGATGCACTCGTGGGGTGAGGTGACTAAGCCACGACTTACTACGTTCGCATACGCACGCACAATATCCGGTGTTTCGGGAACCAAGGAAAGTGCCCCGGTCTTCGTTTTATATCGCTCGAGAATGAGTGTATTGTACGTTCGTGAAAAGTCAGATAATCGAAAACGCAAGCAGCGCGTTCGGTCCCGGCGTGATAGCATGAGATGAAACTGCTCAGTCGAAACCGAAACTGAGTGGCCAACTAGTTCCCAGAGTGCACTGCGTGGTATTTCGCCGCGATGGGGCGCGTCGGTTTTGGAAGAAGTCCATTTCCCAATCAACATGGCAAGTAAATTTTCCCGACAATCGTGGCGGAGAAAGTCCTCCGCCAAGCATCGCAGTGTCGCGTGACACTGTGGTGTTGGTTTCCACGACGACCTTCCGCGAAATGCACCCGGAGGCTCGCTGCAAAGCCTCGTCTCTGACAGCTGTTGCCGTGAGAGAAAGGTGGAAGGCAGAGGTCTACCGGCACAGAGAGTTTGAGCTAGGACATCTTGAAATGGCTCTATTGTGAAAAGTTGGGACACGTGTGCGTCTGGTATACTCCGTTCACCCTTAAGCCGAGACTACAGTGGGAGCTACTTGGGCGCCGTACCAATCAGCTGCCCCCCTCTTATCAACTGATTTGGCTCTTCACACGTGGGTATGGCCGCAGGAGCGTGATGACGTGGCGAAAGAGAGGCATGTGACTGCTCCAATGAGGACGTCGCTTCCGCTGCAGTTTCAGCTAAGGGTTGAACAGAATATAAGGCCTACCTTGGACGAGGCAATTTTCTCAGCAAATTCGGGTTTGCTGGCGAGTTATCCCCCCTATAACTCCCTAGGTTCTTGCATTGCAACACAAACAGCTGGAATCGAGCTTGAAACAGGCTTGCTATCTGAACAACTCGGGAGAAGTTTGAAGCAGCAGCAGCCAATTGGGAACGCAATTTTTTCATGTGGTGGTGGTGAAAATAACTGAACTCGGTTTGGATAATTTTTGCAACTCTGTGCTTTCAGGGAGATGAAATGGTATTCTAAATGCCCTCAAAATATATAGAGACATGTTATTAATGTGTAACTGCGTGCCTATATAATGCTATGAAATTAATATTGTAATGACAGTGATAACAAAACATGGCAGTTCGAGCTTGGGGAGTTGCTGCGTGGGGAACGTGAGAGACCCATGTTGCTGGTGTTGCGACGTCAAGATGTCGGGAAAGACGGACCCGTCGGAAGTGGTCCCAAGCATCCCCCGCGTGCGCTCGCTCCGCAGTTCGGTGGGGTACCGGGGGGGCAGCCGGCAGGCGTCCCCAAGCGAGGAGCTGGGTCCCAAGGCGGGGGACAAGCTGTCCAAGGCGCCCCTGGAGTCTCTGGTGATGTCCCCCATGGCCCCGACCACCCTGGAGGCCCACTTCGACCACCACACCATGGGCATAGACCCCCTGTCCTCTTTCGACTACCAACCCCACGGCCTGCTGCCCTCCATGGAGTCGCCCGGCATGCTGGACTACTCCCAGGTAAGCTTGCAGCTCCTCCTCCCTTTCTTTGGGCTGGGTCTTTCTTTGCTTTTTTTGTGCCTTGGGTTCTAGGGCTGAAGTTTCCCCAAAGGGTTCCGCAAACACTCAAATTTGGTTGGCCTCTTTTGCCCCCAAGTAAAATGTTCTTTCACTTTACGCAATATTTTAGGAGATCTGGGCCGCCTGTTCAAGGGACACTGACAGGGTATTTATGCTCGCCGAGGTTTTTATTTGTGCATGTCATGTGAGAGTTTGACTGCCCAGAACACAATTTGTGGCTCGAAATTCGTTTTCTCTCTGCCCGAAATTCGCCAATCCAGAACTGGCCGGTTTGAGTCGTGCTCACTCTGTTGTTTGTGGTCACGGGCCGTTTTCTATGGTTTAGACACAATCACCAAATATAATCGAAGTGGTGGGTCATCAATGGCTCACACTCAATATTAAAAATGGAAAAAAAGAAATAGGATACCCATTTTTTGTATCTTATAAAAAGCTGCAAATATGTTGATTGACGGGAAAAAAGTTGCAAGCCACGTGACTTCTGCCAACTCTCCGCTATATTTCTTCTACCTCCCCAGTCCAGTTTCGGTTTCCAGCAGTTGTGTTTTTTTTACTTTATTAACCCCTTATTAAGTGCCTTGGACGAGCTGAGCTCGTCGGCCACTTTCTGGCTAAAAATGCCGTGGACAAGCTCAGCTCGTCAGTGGTTTTTTCGGGAGCCCTCAATTCCACGGACGAGCTAGGCTCGTCCGAGTAGTTTTGCGGCGCTGATCACAGATGGCAGCACTCGTTTTAGTTAGCAAATATTTTTTTCGCCTCCGCTGATTTTTGCGTAAAAAACTTTTCAAATTTTATGTGTAATAGTAAAGGAATAACAATTCAAAATAAAAATATGGCACTTTTAGGTTACTTTTGGAAAAAAAAAAAATTGGCACTTGGGGGTTAAAAATATATTTGACCCTCTAGCAAAATATCGATTGGGTCGTCTTCTGACACCATAAGGAATTGCCTGACAAAAAATAAAACAAACATTTTGGATGGTGTCAGTGTCCCTTCTCTGCGCACCCGCGTGGCAAACACTTTATAGCGTGTTTACTATTGTTTACAAGGGCCTGTGGGGTCCCGCCCCGCTTTACCGCGCCAATGTCAAGGGCGGTCAGGTGTTTGAGGTTGAGAACCCCTGGTTTGTATATTTCCCAAGAAGCCCCCTAAGGCCTCTGCATTGATGTGTTGGAGCAGCACATACCACATTTGATGGCGTCTGCTATACCTCAAAGGAGCCTACCAGTGGACTGTTTTTTTCTGGTCGTAGCTCGAAACGCTCGCTCATCGCGATCCCCGCCCCTAATCTCGAAGGAAATGCTGGTTCAAGTTCTAGAGCGGTCCAAGCGACGCAATTACTCTAAGGATGAGAACAACGGGGCATTTTTTTTTTTTATTATCGGGCTTCCAGAATGTACTTGCCGTGCTTCGACCGCGCTTGCACGCTCGGAGCTCAAGAAACACCCGCAGCATTAGCGAAAGTTGGAAGCTCAGGTCGGATTCGGGATGAGCCAAGGACATCCCAGCCGTTTCCTTGCCGTCCGTGGTTACAGTTGACTCGCGTATGTCCGCTTACAAGCGCAAAAGGCCGAGGGGCGACCGTGTTTGCTAATCGCGTCGTCGCTCCTTCTCGTGCGTAGCTCTACCAGCAGCACCAGCAACAACAACAGCACCACCAACAGCAGCATCAGCAGCAGCAACAACACCAGCAGCAGCAGCAGCAGCAGAGGGGCCAGCACGGGGGTGCCAGCATGGCCCTGGTGCCCGGAGGGCAGTACCCCCTGGGTCCGAGCCAGGGGCCCCCCCAGGGCGGGGCGGGAGGCCTGGGGGTGCCCGGAGCGCCCACGCAGTCCCCCTTCGGGCCCCCCTCAAACCCCTACCTGATGAACCAGGACCCGTACGGACCCCCTCCACCGCCGCTGGGCATCGTCACAGGTGGGCATTCCTTGTTTATTTGGCGACGGAAGGGTGTGACAGAGCCTAGAGCAGGGGACTCGTGAGCGATGAAAACTGGGACCGTGTGGCGGTATACGTTCGATCTCGTACGCAAATACTGCAAAACCTTCGCTCTAGTGAAATGCAGTTCCGGGGTGACCTTGTAGATTGCGCCAGTGTGCTGCGTGTTCTATCGTCGTAAAAGATCGCAAGAGCTCAATCGTGAGTGCGTGCGAACTTTCCCTTAAAAGCAGAACCGTCGCTCGCGCATCTGACGGCCATGTCTCGAACCGTCGTTCGCACCCTCTGTGCCCAGGTCCGGCCATGATGCCCCAGTACTACGGAATGCCCCCTTGGGGCATGTTTCCAACGCCCGCCGCCGCGGCGGGCCTCCTCCAGGGCCAGGGGGGCCAGGGGGGCCCGGCCCCGCAGCAACAGATGCAGCAGCAGGTGCAGCAGCAGATGCAGCAACTGCAGCAGCAGCAACAGCAGATGCTCAGGGGCAGCGGGGCAAGGCCCATGACCCCGCAGGGCGGGGAACCCCTGTCGCAGGCGCCCCCTGGAGGTGAGTCTCCGTGGGCGCTTCCTTGCTCCTCCTCACGGAGTTCCTTGAGCGGACGAATTCGCGTGGTGCCTGCTACACCAAGGTTGAGTTGTTCTCGCGGGGCGGAATTTAAGCGTATTGAGGTGCGAATAGACTGTTTTCAAAACCCCCGTCGAGCAACGTTGGCGGCCGCCATTTCTCGGGCACAAAGCGCTAATGAATTGGAGTCGTCGCTCGGTGCAAGCCGATTCGACCTTACTCGTAACGCCGACGTAGCCCTCATGTTTGGTAAATGGTTCGAGTACTTGGCAAAACGACAGCGGACTCCTATAGTTGTCGCAGTGGCTGTTAGGTGGTGCGCACTTTTGGAAAGGGGCTGTTGATACGTTGTCATGAGCCATACGAACTGTCTCTCTTTTCCTCGGTATAAATAGTTTTTTTTAAAGGACATGTGCAAAGGAAAAAAACATTTTGAAAATGAAGTCATAAAAAGAGTTCACAACGAACAAGAAAAGCTTTTAGAGCGATATTTATGGCGCAAAACGAATTTGTAGTTGGCGCCCGCGGGCACCCACAGAAAAATGACCACTATTTGTCACAAGGTGCTTGTACTCTTTCGGAAGCTTCCTTTGGTCTCTAAAAGTTACTTATTCATCTTTGTCTGAAGTGTAACAAAAAACTAAGTTTAATAAGTAACTTTTAGAGCCCAAAGGAAACTCTTGAAAGAGCGCAAGCACCACGTGATAGACCTGTGCGTCGGTCAAAAATACACGGCAGTGGGGCGTGCGAGTGTTCCCTGCCAGCGGCGGCATGGGGAGTGTAGAGAAACGCGTTCAACTGTCAGTGCACCACGCTCTGCGTGCGACAGCGGCGTGACTTTGCAGCGGTGGCGTCGCACAGGTCTACCGCGTGACCAGCGGTGGCTCCCGCGGGTGGCAATTACAAATTCCTTTTGTGCTGTAAATTTAGCCCTACAATATTTTTCTTCGTTGTAAATTCGTTTTTTGAGATTCTTTTTCCATCGAGACCGTTAAAAAAATGCTTTTTTCCTTTGTGTGTGTCCTTTAAGGAAATTTCTCGGCATTCCAACTGCTTTGCCAAAAGGTTGGCGAGTAAGTCCGTTCCCCGGAACCTCAGCAAGGGTGGACGTCCATCTGACAGAGTGTCACGATGGTGTTTGGGGCAGACACGCCCGCCGTTTTGGGTGCCACCTTGCCACATGTGAGAAAGGTGCCGGGCAAGCCAGTCATGCTCTTGCCCTTTCGCTCCTGTTGCGTTCACTTCTCTCTGGAGGTCTTTAATTTACCGAACAATATCTCGACAAAGGGGGGGGGGGGGGGGGGGAGTGTCACTACCTGGAAGAGTAATTTTTAACAACTTAATCAATCTGAATAAAACTTGTGGGGCATGTTAGTGATCATAAAGGACCGCGTGCAAAATTTCAGCTGCATAAACCAATTCTGTGAGGCACTACCGAGGAACCACATGTTCCACTATGGAGTGAAAAGCTAATCTCCTTAGCACAGCTTGCCGATTTTTTAAGGCAAAGGCCTTGTATGTCTCCTGGTTCAGTCGATCTCCGAAGTCCTCGAGCAAAAACCTGTCGGCGACATGAAAGGTACCAAAACGTTCACGTGACCACTCAGGAGAATTAGAGGCAATGAAATTAAGAAGGATGACAAAGCAAATTAAAAGAAATCAAAGTAAATTAAGAGAATAGATTGTCCTTTCTTCGAGTACTTTTTAGCCTTCAAACAGTCTAGTTTTTCCCCCAAAAGATGTTTTTCAGTGGTCAGGTTTTGTTTCCGAAGGAATTGCATAGCATAAAAAAAAAAAACCAATGCACATTTTTTTTTTTTTTAATTATCTAGTAGAGCATGTTTTTATGCTTGCAAGCTGTTTAGGATTGAAAGCATTCTATGAAAGTATCAAAGGCGAAAAGCTGTCTCTCTTCCATTCGGTTTCATTTTAAGATATCCGCTTCCACAAAATTCCAGCGGCTTCGGCTTGCTAAGTGGAGGTACTTTTTAAAGCTTGTCTGTCGTACGATTAGCTCTCGTCCTGTGAATTTAATTCCTAAAAGCATTGGAAGGCTCATTTGGAAGACCCAGTGCACCCACTGGCACCGGCGCCGGAGCAGCCGGCACGCGACACAGGCATCGCGTGCGCCGAGCGTCTAATTTGAGAACTATAAATAGCTCAGTTAAAGCGAAACACTGTGCGAATACAATGTCTATAGTTCGATAAAGACCCGACAAATAGCAATGCCTCCCGTAGTGCGCGCAGCTTTGCATTTAGGGGGGCATTTTCGAATGCGTAGTCGCCGCTGTCCACGTGCGGCGACGCCCATCAAAGGGTTAAAATATGCCAGTGTGGTTGCGGGCTCCGACCGAGCGTCCGTGCCTTGTCCTTCGGTGCAGGAGGCCAGTACCAGGTGTTGGCGCCGCCATACTACGACCAGAACAGTCAGCTGATGATGAGCAACACTCGTGCCGTGCGCCTCATGCCACCGGTGCTCGTGAATCCCGGGGCGCCAGGGACCAACCCGTCGAGCCAACCAGGTCTGTCCGCCTTGCGGTGCATGACGGACGCTTTGCCTTGCGGTGCACGCATCTCGGCACACCGGTTCGCGTGTCGGTGCCCCGTGGTTTCTGGTCGGCTTGCGCTCGAATCAAGGGCCCGTAGCTCTCGTTGTAGTCTCGTCGTAGGGTAAGGTGAAGTTTATAGTCTGTTGGGATTTTTTGGTTGATTTGCGTTTGAGCTCTGTTAATGATACTGTGCGTTCGCAAACATGCCAGCAAAATATTGAGTGTAGTTATCGGAACGATCTGCTAAAACTCCCCTTACAAGTTGGTGATGCAGCGCGCAATAAACAAAGACAGAAATAAAAAAAAAGGATGAGCGTTGATTTTTTTTTTTTTTTATCGTTTATTTTAGGGGCATTGAGCTTAGCTTGTCGTGGTGACAACCAGATTTGACACATGACGTAAGAATGAGCCAACTTGCCCGCATCGCCACTTTGATTCGTTACATTTCTTCTGCAGCGGGCTCTTTTACGTGCGCTCACGGCGCCAACAACCGTGCCATTACCGATCCCGAGAGATGGCCCACCTAAAGTCGAAAACAAATTGGGTGAAAATGGGGAGTGGGCCATCTTTGAAGAAACATTCGAGAAAAGTTGAAGAAACACTATTTTTAGATCGTTTTTCTGCCAAACTTGTCATCACAGCGAGGGACAATGAAGCGAAGTTGATCATACTTCCCAGTGAGCAATGTTCGCTTACATCCCGCCATAGCTAACTAGCCGCATTTACAGCAAGATCACCATTGATCCGATCACTGATTACCAGGAGTGGGCTATCTTTCTGAATTTAAAATTAAATATCAAATTGAGCCAAAAAGGGGGTGGGCATCTCAGGATATTACGGTACATGTGTCAACATCATTGCTACCAAATCGAAGTTCATCCCGTCTGCTGCCTATCATATTGTATGAGCGTGAACCAGTACTAAAGCCTCGGCTATTTTGGGACGCAAGACATAGACCATATTTTCCGGTGTATAGTCCGTAGAGAATACATGTTTAAAGTTGAAATTTATCCCAATGCTACTGATGCGTGCTATACAAGGATTTGTTTTTTTCTAGATCGTTCACTGTGACAAGACGTAAAGGATTTAGCGGACTTTAGTCAAGGTGTGCTGCGTATGATAATTTTGTTTGTTCGAACGAGGCACTAGGTGCGGACTATGCACTGGGGGCCAACCATCTAAGCAAAAGCTTTTATATTTGACCCCAAATTTGCCTCTACGAACTATGAGCGGGTGCAGACCATAGTCCGGAAAATAGGTAAATAAATAAATTACAAAGACCGTCCGTTTATTGTCCTCATCGCCACTCGCTCCCCGTGGTACGAGCTCTCCACGTGGCGTACGTAGGGGTGACTCCCTCTCGCTGTTGTTTCAGGGTCCCTGAACGGCGGCAGCCTGCGGCTCCTGGGCTCCCAGGGGGGTGGGGGTGGCACGGGGAGTGGGGGTCCCCAGGGGGGCCCCCAGGGGTCCGGGCTGTTCTCGGCGGCCGGGGGCTCGAGCCACCCCTTCGGCCCCTCGGGCGGCTATAACCCCGGCGGTGGGGGCCCAGGGGCCTCGGCCTTCTCCGGGGCGGGGGGCTTTGCCTCGGGCCTCGGCTACGGGGGACCCTCCTCCCTGGGGCCCATTGGGACGTCTCCCGCGGGACCAGTCGGCATCGGTGAGTGGACCTTCCTGCCGGGACTCTGAAGGGATGCTGGGCGGACCGGTTAGCAATGAGCTCTTGCGCGTGTGTTACACCCTCTCGTCTGGCCTCGCTTCCTGCTGTCATCATTTTGGAGGGGGGGAGGGGGCGGGGGGCGGGGCGGGCACTGTTTTGCGTGACCAACACATTTGGCACCTGTCTTTGTGCATGTTTCCTCTGTTTTGACGATTCTTTTTTGAGCGTCGGTGGTATGGGGCTTGCAGAGCTATGAGAACCGACACAGCGGCCCGATGCCAAGGTGTTGTGAAAGGCAGAAACGTGTTGGGTTGCCCTTCCTATGTAGTTTGCGGACAACTCCCCAACCTTAAAAATAAAATTTAAAAAAATATTTAGAGGCGCATTTTACGGCGAAAACATGAGAATGGCAGGGTATCTCTTATGAAAGCGCGGGCTCCAGCACGCAATTGATGCCTTCTGGCGTGCTTTGGCTGCGCATGCACGCGCGAGACGCATGAGCTGCTCAGACGTTATTGAAGCTAGGAAGCTCACGCTGGAGGCGGGACAACTGAGGTTTCTCCCTGTCGTTCTCACTCTGTCCGTGACTAGAGACTACGATTGGTCTGCACTGCTGATGTCAGTCCCGTCGTCATCTTTGCTACGTTTTCGAAGCACGTCGGCGGCGGCGTCCAACAAAATCGTACGCAAATGACAGTATCAACTGCATCTCCTCCACTTGCTTGGTGATCGCGTTGCACGTCACGGTTAGGGACCGATTGCACACTTTTGTGTCGTACGTTACTCAAACTCGGGAAGGCGTCCCCACCTATCCAGACTTCGGCCTGCGGAAGCCTCCTCGTTTGCTGTCGCAGTTCAGATCCCGCGCTGCTGCACGCTCCACTGGAGCGCCACCCGCTTCGACGGATCGAACTCGCATCCAGCAGCGCAGTTGTCGGTTGCTTCTAGATGAGGAACGGCCATAAATGAGCACAGAAAACCTGTGAACTGCCCGAATTGTGCGTGTGAATACAAAGAAACGTAGTTGGTGCTCCAGCATTATCTTGACACTCTTATCAAACGACTTGCGACCGTGAATCGTGCACAAAAACTCCGAAAAGAAGCCGTGGGGAGTGAGGCGTGAGGTCGTTCCGGCGGCCTCCAGAGTGGCTCTTACAAAGATTGCCGGCACCCCCAGGAGTCGGGCGCACCGTGCACTGTTCACCGCCATACATTCGGGCTAATTTGCAAATTGCTATCAATAATACTAAAGAAATCTTGTAAAATGAGTGCACAGAATAGCGCAATGCCACAGGTACAGCCGGCTCAACCCGTAACAATCTGGGGTATTCTTGATATCGCAAATGTTTCGTTCTTGTCGGCGGTGGAATGCTTTGATTCGATTAAAAAGTGACCTCCCCCCCCCTCTTCAGGGGTCGACGAACATTCATGTAAATACGGTACAATCGAAGCTCGTTATTTCGACTCCCGTTATTTCGATCATTGCGTTAATTCGATCCTTCCGTTTAGCACCGTCAGAAATGTACAGGCTTCAATAGGCAGAAAACCTTGGTATTTCGATCTGATAAATATCCCCAACCCAATAATTCGTCCCGGGAGCCAGCATCTTCGTAACCGGAAAATATTTTTTAAGCTAACACTATAAGTTTAAAGGTTAAAACGGCACCTCAGAACGCAACACGCATCCCTACCCATATTGGCAAACAGCCGTTGCAGTGAGCCTGCGCCTGATTGCGGCACCTCCACAGACGCGCGATGCCCGTCGGCACCCCCCCAGCCAGGGCGCGCTCCGCGAAAGAGCGCCCGCACAGACAGGTGCCCTTTCGCCGGTGCCTCGCGCCGGAGAAAGGGCTGATTTGATTAGTCGAGAGGTCGAGATAAGACCCAGTCAGAGCGCACCGGCCCGATCACGTGGGGAGGTGCGCGGAAGGAGACGGGAGCAACGAGAGTGAAATGAGGGAGCGATGAAGTGAGAAAGAACGTCGGGGGGATGGAGAAGGAGACTGGAGAAAAATGAGCGAGCAATGAAGAGGGACCGTGCTGTCACGCGGTTTCTGGTTTCTGTTCTTCGGAGTGCGCGGCGTTTAACGCTCATACCGGAAAATGTCGGAAGAAAAGCGAGGAAAGTACTCTTCGAATGATTTAAAAACAAAAGTTCACATACTCAACGAAGTTAGGGAGGGAAAATTGTCCAGAAAAGAAATAGCCGAAAAGTATGACCTCAAGAAAAGCACCCTTGCCACCTACATTAGGAATGAAGCAGCAATCGTGAAAGCTTTTGAAGAAGAGCAATTTGTGAATTCAAGAAAACACCTTCGCAGTGCAGCCCATCGAGAACTCGAAGAAGCCGTTTACAAATGGGTGACAGAAGTAAGAACGCACAACCTTCCGATGACTGGAGACATGATCTGTGCAAAGGCTCAACAGTTCAGTGAACGTTTGGGCATCTAGGGATTCCGTGCTTCCGAGGGATGGCTCGCAAGGTTCAGGGAGAGGCACTCTCTTATTTTTAAGCACGTGTGTGGTGAAAGAGCCAATGTGTATGAAAATTTCTGTGAAAACTGGAAGACGTCGTAGCTCGCACGTATTCTTGCGGAGTATGCGCCCGAGGACATATTCAATTGCGACGAAAAGGCGTTGTTTTTCAAAGCTCTCCCCGACAAAACGATAACGTTCAAAGGGGATCCTTGCACTGGGGGAAAACGCAGTAAAGAGCGGGTGACTGTGCTCGTGGCAGCCAACAGGACAGGCACGGAACGTCTGCCTCTTTTGGTGGTCGGGAAATTTAAGACGCCACTATGCTTTCGGAACATCCCGCGGCTTCCAACGGACTACAGTTTCAACAAAAAAGCGTGGATGACACGTGAGATCTTTCAAGATTGGCTTCAAAAAATGAACCGCCAGTTCGCGTCCAAGGGGCGCAAGGTCGTGTTAGTAGCGGACAACTGCAGTGCGCACACAAAAATGCCGGAGCTGTCTTTGATCCGCCTGATCTTCCTTTCACCCGCAACCACCTCACTCTTGCAACCAATGGATCAAGGAATAATCAAACACCTGAAACGCTTGTACCGCAAGCATCTCATGGCAAGAATATTGCTTTGTCTGGACCAGGGTAAGCGCTATGAAGTCACTCTGTTGGCGGCGATTCATATGCTTGTTAAAGCTTGGACGGACATGCCAAGCCAGGTCATCGCGAACTGCTTTCGTCACTGTGGTTTCTCGTGTGATGGAAATACCGCGAGTTCGACGACTGCATCGGCTACTACGTCTACATCGGCAACTGCATCGGCTACTACATCGGCAACTGCATCGGCTACAACATCGGCAACCACAATTGAAGATGAAAACTTTGACGAAGAGTGCAGTGCTCTAATGTCCGCTCTACCCGAAAACGTTAGTTTCGATGATTACGTTGCGATAGATGATGGAGTGCTTGTGTGCGGTCAATTGACTGACGACGAAATCATTGCATCGGTTCAGCGTCCCGAGGGTCAGGAGGACGACAGATGCGAGAATGACGCCGAAGAGCCGCCGCCACGCCCATCTCCTGCCGAAGCATCCACTGCGCTCGATGTACTTGCGAACTTCGCAACGTTTAAAGACACAGACGGGACAATGTGGCCGCACATTGAGGATATGCGGAAATTTGTTTTTGTGAAGCGTCTGACGGGAATGCGGCAGCAGAAAATATCGGCGTTCTTTTCGAAATAAAACTTCGTCGTCACGGTTGGCTTTTTGCCGCTTCTCGTGACGTACGTCGTTACTCGTTTTTGATCGATATTCGACTCTTTGATAATTCGATCTATTTTCGAGGAACCGTCAGAGTCGAATTAACGAGCTTCGACTGTATGTGCTGCTTCAAAGTAACTCAAAACTACTGATATTTTTTCTACAAATTTGCTCCGAAACAAGATTTTTATTGCTCCAAAACTTGCTCCAAACTCAAAACTACCTAAACCACCCCTGACTTTTTTTTTTTTTTTTTTTTTTTGCACATAAAGACCTTTTTTCGGGCGGGAATTCGGCATCCCTCTAAAGTGGTGCATCTAGGCGTACCGTCATGACACTCTTTTCTGAGCGGGGCGACTCCGGTCGGCGCCAGAGTCCATTGACGGGGGTCCTCCGGTCTCCGTGCCCAGGGCTCGGGGGCAGCACGGAGTCCCCCCGGAGGGACTCCCTGGAGCGGAGGGACGGCCCCATGCTGACCGGGGGCGCCGGCCGCGGCCCCTTTGCGACGGCGGCGGCCCTGGAGTCCTCCTACTCGTCGGCAGGGGCCCAGGGCAAGGGCAGCCAGTTCTACGGGCCCCTGGGCACGGTGGCGGCCTCCCCGGGCCCCGTGGGCATGCTGCCCCAGAGCCTGACCCCGCCCCCGCCCTCCCTGAACGGCTCCTCCTCCAACCTCAGCCTGGGTGAGTCCCGAGGGGGGTGTCGGGTTTTTTCGTGCATAAAAATAGCGGAAAGGAAAATAGTTACAACAATCCCGAGAAATGCCCCGCCCCCGACAGGTAACCTGCCCCCCCCATTTTTGGCTCGACTTGCTACTTCCTCTTTGAACGCCGAAAGGTGACCCACCCCTAGTAATCATAGTGTTCGGATCAATGACGACCTCGGTGTGAATGCGTCTAGTTGGCTATGGCGGGATATGAGCGAACATTGCTTTCTGGGAAGTACAGTCATCTTTGCTTCATTGCCCCTCGCCGCGATAACAAGTCTGTCAGAGACGCATGATCTAAAAATAGCATTTTTTCAACCTTTCTCGATTGCGCACCGAAAGCTTTTCCACTTCTTATTTTCACTTGATTTTCTCTCGAATTTATTTAAGCCATCTTTCGGGATTTTACCGTAGATAGATTAAAAGAAAGCATAGCAAAACTTTAATTACACAAAATGACCGGTCCTACGTTAATCCACACAGCTTGGAGAAGTCGTTGGGCGGCGTGTCGTGTTCACGCACTGTGGGGTCTCGACGGCAAAATCTCGATTGGCGTCGTCCTCACGAGCACATGCCTTGCAGTGCTCCCTGCGACAGACGGCGAAGATGGCAAGACGCCCGCGTTTGCCGCTTTGCACCACACTTTCGTCAACACCGCCACAGAGGTGTCATGTGGGAGTGTCGCGTCCCTGATTGGCTGCTGCTGCTTCAATTGTCTCAGAGTCACCAGAGTTGCTCGTTCGCTTTGAGTCGGACACCATCCGGGCGATTCGTGTCGCAGCGCCAGAATCTACGGAAAGCTAGTGAACGACCTAGGGAAAGCTAGGGAACAATGCGCCAGCAACATCGAAATTGCCGGGAAATTTTAGAGCGTGCCTTACTCTCTTAACTGTTGGCTTTCTAATTTCGGTGTGTGACGTCTTTTCTGCGTGCAGGTTCGTTCGGGGGCCGAATGATGTCTGCTGCTCCCGGGGCCGAGGCTAAGTATCTGGTGCGCAACGGACCCCTCGGCAGCATGCTGGGATCTTCGAGCGCCCTCGTGCCCGGGCGCACGCTGCAAAGGAAGTGAGTCTCTCTGGTTTGCCACCGGCTGCATTTGTCTGTCCCGAATCGTGCCACGCGGCGCGGGAAACCGTGGGGCCGTTTAGTGTACGCTTGGGTCGGCTCCCGTGCTCCCTGCATCCGGGAAGTGGCTAGATTCTTTCCTCCTCATAGAACTGGAATTGCCGATGAACCAAAGGCGTCCAGAAAAGGGTAGATCGTCGAATGGTCGACTAGGCTGGGAATTGTGGGTGATGGCGGCGGCGCGATGACGTGCGACGAAGCAAAAGAATGTGGCGTGGATGACCTCTGCTCCGAGTGACAGTTGCTCGAGGCATTCCTAGCCTAAGCCACTGTCTAATTGACTGGATTAAGCAGGGAACAGCTGCTGCTGTCCCATCTTCTGCATCTTTTTTTCTTTTATAACTGGCAGGGAATTTAATCAAAATTTCAGAAGAACCTGGAAAAGTCTGGGAATTTGTGAACGGAAATTTGGTTAGATGCCTTAACACCGCAAGTTTGGAACACAAAGAAATCGCAAAATGCTAAATAAACACGAACCGCTATTTCTATGCACGCAACTCCTCGACATGCCATACGTCGGATTGTCATGGTGCGTCAAAAAGATAACGCGAGGCGCTGCATTTTTCCGGAATGGTCCGTTTTTTCAGAGGTTTGATTTGTACACCAGGTGTGTTTGAATGTGGGTGCGCAAACGCTTGGTCTGTGTGTGTGCGAGACTTGCTGTGTCCAGAAGCTGAACAATTGCAATTAGCGAGGGAAGCAAATGCTTTAGTGCGGAACAAACTTGTTTTATTGTTGTGTCGAGCAAAAAAAAGTCAGGAAAATGTAAAATGTTTTAATGTATGGCAAAAGAAAAAAAAAAAGTAAAGAAAAAAAATAAAAGCAGTGCCTGGACGTTCACTGCAGGGGAATCGAGCCTGTCTGGGCCACCGCTGGCCGCATTCATTTCGTTGGCAGGTTGATTTGTACGTCGAGAGTGCTGGAATGTGCCTGCGTGAACGCTCGTTCCGGGTGCATGCCTAACTTACGGTGCGCCGAAGTTTGAATACCGCAGTTAGCAAGGAAAGCGAATACTTTAAAGGGATACTACAACGAAATTTTGGCACTCATTTTTTGGTCTATATCTGTTCAAAAGAGCAGTATCACATGGAACATACCAATATCTTGTTAAAAAATTCTCGAAAAGGAATTTTAAAACGAATTAAACGATTAGCAAAGAGCACCTGGGGTGGATGTCGGTAACACCTCGTTTGTAATGCTTGTGTAGGAACCTTGACAGCTAGTGACGGAGGTTGTCTCGTCTCCGGCCACGACGAGAGAAGGGGGAAGGAGGAACTCCCCTCTTCCCGAGAATCCCTTTTGTGTGTCGCAGAAGTCGCTATTGTCCCCCTACAAGATTATAGAAGATTAACTCGTCACTCAAAATTCGTACAAAAGCAGCCGCTTCGGTGGCTGGAACGACTAGGCCATCCTCTCGACGTCAGCCTCGCCGTAGCTTTGCTCTTCTTGAGACGACCTACGTCACGATTGCGTTGGATGTCACGTGCTCTAAGCTGGGCCTTCTCCGAGCGCTTGCCAGAGTGGGCCGTTTATAACGAAAAATACAGCCACCAGAATCAAAATACAAACGTGTGATTGTCATTTACGGATATTGTGGATCATATTCAACCTATTTTTTAACACGACGGGAATATTTCAAATTTCGTTGAAGTATCCCTTTAATGTGTAATTCGCTTCTTTTATGTTTTTATACAAAAACATTGCATGAGGGTGGGGTGGGGTGTCTTCCTTTGTATGTTTGTTTGACAGGTAAGAGAGAAGGCTTCCAGATCCTTAAAAATGCCTTTGCAGACCCCCATTAAAGAAGTACTAGTATGCTGTGTAGGATTGTGCAATACCTCTAGTTTTATCGATTACTTTACTCCAAGGAGCAAATGGGCTCGAGAGGGACTGTCTCCACAGAAAAAGAGCTTTTGGGCGACACGACAAAAATGTGAATGGCATTTTGGTAAAACTGCACAGTGTCTTTCTTGTCTTACATTTTAGTCGGGTTTTACGTAATCACCACTGAAGAATATGGGCATTGCAACAGTAGAAAAAGTCTACTGGCTAGGCTACATTCGAATACCAAGAGGACAATTTAAAGAATCTGATCCCCGCGTTGCCCAGCTCGAGCCTGGAGAAGCCTCCAGGACGGAGCCGGCTACTGGAGGACTTCCGCAACAACCGCTACCCAAACCTGCAGCTACGGGACCTGGCCAACCACATCGTGGAGTTTTCCCAAGACCAGCACGGCTCCAGGTAAGAGAGTCGGACTTTCAGGTTTGGCCAGGGGGTGTGGGATCTAGTCATGTACTGACAGACTCTTCCGAGTTCTCCGCCGCCTGAAAGCACGTTACGACGAGCTGCCTGGCAGCACGGGAAACTGTTGAAAGGAGTGAATTCCAGCCTACATTCCGTATTGTAGACTATATTCGGCGTCGACTGCTTTATGCCACATCGTTGAGGCTAGCACGGTTTCCACAACACTGCAACCCCGCGCCGCTGCGAGATCATGCGACTTCGTCTTCCTCCTACTTGCACAACCTCTCGTGCGAAGGGGACACCAAATGAAGCACCGCGCACGCTCTTGTAGCTTCGACAGCTCTGGAGTGCCGCGGAGAGCATGGCGACGGCAAGTTTGGTTGCTTTACATTGCCCCATGTTTTTGCCCGTCGCAGTAGGGTCCCCATCTTTTTGTTGAATCACTTTTTGTGGAAGCACATGTTGTGGACAACTCTTTGTGGACGTGGGTTTCATGGCCGCACGTGTCGTCGAAAAAGTTTCGTGGACATGCTTTTGGGACGTTTCATTGAGAACATATTTTACTTAGTGGATTGGATTGCTGGACTTTATAGCTATGACTGAGCCGACCGATTCGAAAAACATATTCCGATTCCTCCGTCGTTGCCACCTGCGGTCAATTGAAATAGACAGAACCTAAAAGCGGCAAAAGACAGATTTCGGGTTGCAAACCTTTTTTTTCGTGCTCGCTTAAAAATTTAGGCGAGCACAAATTTGCATTTGGAGTGCAACAAACACCCTGCGACCCCGGGGACTCTTCTTCTGCAGGTTCATCCAGCAGAAGCTGGAGCGGGCAACGCCCTCGGAGAAGCAACTGGTCTTCTCGGAGATCCTGGGGGCAGCGTACAACCTGATGACGGACGTGTTCGGCAACTATGTGATCCAGAAGTTCTTTGAGTTTGGCAGCCCCGAGCAGAAGCAGGCCCTGGCCCTGAAGGTGAAGGGCCACGTGCTGCCCCTGGCCCTGCAGATGTACGGCTGCCGGGTCATCCAGAAGGCCCTAGAGTCCATCTCCACCGACCAGCAGGTGGGCTCTCCCGCGCGCCATTTGTCGACTTTTTCACGACTCGTGAGCTTTGTCACGGAAGTTTTGGGCACTCTCACGGCTTCCAAACTTTTTTGCACTACTTATTGACTTTTTCGCAACTGAGCTTTTTTTTTTTCTCTTACTAATTTACGGACTTCTTTGCAGCTTCTTGACCTTTTCACTATTTTACGGACTTTTTTGCACAACTTGTTGGTGTTTTGCAGCCTTTTGAGTTTTACACTGGCTTAGTACTTTGTGTCGTCTCAGCTTTTTCACTGGCTCATGAACTTTTTCACTAGCTTGTGCACTTTTTCGTGCAAGTTGCTTTTTCACAACTTGTGAGCTTTGTTGCACAACTTTGGGACTTAGTGTGACTTTGTAGTTTTCTTGCACGACTTGTCGGCTTCATGCAAATTGGTGACTTTTTCTTTTTTTCCGCAACCTTACAGAAGTTTTTACAACTTAATGGGTTTTTTTTTTCCACACAACTTGCCTTTTCCTTAAATTGTGGACTTCCATACAGCCTCCGAACTTTTTCACGACTTCTGAGGTTTTTCACAAAGCTTGTTGACTCTTTCACCAATTGTGAGTTTTTTCACGCAACTTTCAGACTTTTTGACAGAAGTGGTTTACTTCATGATTTATACAGTAGGCTCTCATTAATTAAAACTCTGGAATACCACAAATTTTGTTTTAATTATTGGAAGTTTTAATTATCAAGAACTCTGCTAAATAGGATGCAAGATAGAATTATGATTTGCTGTATGGATGGCTATGCACACAAAGCTGATTTTTAATGATCTCTGCACAGCTAGACCTTCTAATCATAAGCAGGTGTACCACACATGAAACATTGGTGAAATGTGCTCCATCCGAGGTACGAGCAGAAAACAATAGCGCAATCATGCTAACATATTGAAAGAAAAAAAATTCAGCTTCAGCTTTCAGTCGAGGCTGGGAAATTTTGAATTGTCCATAAAGATTTTTTTTTTTTTTTGCCAATGTTTTACATTTTTTTGCAGTACTGTCGCATATTTGTATCTTCGTATTATTTTCAAGTTTATTTCCTGTTGGTTTTACTTCAGATATTATTTGCATAAGCATTTTGGAGACTGACCTCACACCTGCGGATATTGTTACCAATGATTCGAGAGCCTCAATTCGGTTTTTATACATTTCTGAGCCATTATATTTTCAATTCGATGCAAATAATTTTCAATACTGATGTTTGTATGTGAATGTGGTTGTATTAGCGCATGCATATTCTTGTTTTATGACTACTTATATAATATTCATAGATGACTAATTCTCTCATTTTTATTTGCCTTGCTAACAAGTCTGTCAACCCAATTTTTTCATTAGCGATCTGGCGTCTTCCCTGCATACGATGTAATTTATTATTATTTATTGAAAATGGAATAAGGGCTTCATTGCCCCAAAGTGCCAAGTTCTATCATGAATTTAACAAAATTCATAACCGGAAAGTACAATACGTGACATTTATGCAGCGATGCCCTCCTCAAACATTGGGGCAAGAAATGAACAAATCTGCTGCATTCTATACAACTCGTTTAAAGTTATATGGCCCAAGTCGGTGTCACTTTCAGAAATAAGTAAGTGTAAAATTATTGCATTACTTATTGAAAGTAATTAGTAATTGTAATGAATTACTTTTCACAGAGTAGTAATTGTAGTTAAACTACTTTTGAAGCAAAATAATTGTAATTAAATTTTATTTTGGGAGTAATTTACCCATGTATGGCGGAGTTTCTCCCCATCAACGCATCACGGTCTGTCTTACCGCAGCCTTTGCCATGCCAGTACAGCAAAGGGGCGACTTTTGTTTTCTCTAGCTAGGTTTATCACCTCATGGGCGCGAAATGTCAGTGCGGCGGCAGTAGTTTCTCGACGGTAATTGCGTCGTGCTAAGCTTGGAAGTCTTCCTGAGGACCGCTTTGTTTTTAATGATTGCAGAAGGAGGTGGTGAAGGAGCTGGATGGCCACGTGCTCAAGTGCGTCAAGGACCAGAACGGCAACCACGTGGTGCAGAAATGCATCGAGTGCGTGGACCCCACGGCCCTGCAGTTCGTCATCAATGCCTTCCAGGGACAGGTGAGGCTGGGCGTTTCAGAACACAAAATGCTTTTTAACAAAACCCGTAACCACAAAACATTTTGTTCATCCGTCCGCCCGTCTGTCCATGCATGCATTTACCACTAAATTTAGCGGGGAAATCAATGTCACATGACTTATACACCAATTCGATTTCCCTGCTAAATTTAGTGGGAGGCATTAAAAAAAAATATATATATAGGCTTGTTGTTTAGAGTTCTTTGAACAAACTTATACGGTTGCTTCTTAAATATTGTTTCATGTGTTATAGGACTTTGGAGATTGCTGGGACCAAGATATGCTTTAATCTCTAGTGTCTTCTCAGTTATACCAAGTAAAAACTCAATTCGATTTCCTTCTTGTCCTCTTCTGCCTCCGCCTTGTAGCTGCATTTTTTTTTTTTTTTTGTTGTTGTTGCTTTTATTTTTTGTTTTGCTTCAACGGATCCTTCGAGGGGTTCCGATAACCAGTCGATTCCGCTCAATTCAGCACCTTGTTTAAGAGGGAAGGGACTAAAAACGTCGCCTTTGATTCACCCGTTTAATTGCGTTCAACTTGGTAGCCATGCGCTACGTGACGAGGTACACGGCAGTGCAATGTTTCGTTCTAAACAGAGTTGGTTCATGTTGGGTTAACCAAAGCACCAGCGTTGCTACGAAACACGGGTGTTTAATGAGAAACGTAGGTGTTCCTTAGTAGTAAACGCGCCAGACATAAAAAGAAGCATTGGGAGAGCTTGCGAGACTGGGCAGGTTTCAAACCTGTGGCTTTGGGTCTCGGTCAACGGTAAAGCAATGTAACGGCAAGTCCGTTGTGAGGAAAAGGCTTGCAGATGCGGTCTAAAATATACGCAGATGGAGAGTATCGCTACAATAAGTGACGCGGTGAGAACGACAAGGAGGACTTGTCAGCGACTGTAGACCATTCTATGGGATGAAAGGAAAGGGAATGAGCCTTCATGTTTGGGCAGTTGTGGCAGTACAGCCCACCAGAACTGCCCAAACGAAGGAAGGGCACGTGGCATTTGGTCAGTCGAAAGGCCGGAGGGGGACAGTCGGTTTGTCGTCTGCCGTCGGGATCGGGTCCCTTTTGCCCCGTTAATTCCGTTGAAGTGACAAATGCACATAGATGGCGCTGTAGTCTAACAAAGCAGCACCGCCCAGTGAGCCCTTAGTGGAACGGTCCATAGACATAAAGAAAGTTTCCGAAGAGACTTCGGACCAGCCCGTCGATCAGATCGGAAGTCCGAGTCGGTGACTTTGCAACTTGACAACGAACCGTTTGTGAGGAGAGAGGAGTCTGCATACGAGGCATCGGGCCTACGTACGGAAGGAGGGGCATCTGAAGAGACTTCCCCTCTCGTCCCCCATCAGGTGTTTGGGCTGTCGACGCACCCGTACGGCTGCCGGGTGATCCAGCGCATCCTGGAGCACTGCACGGGCGACCAGACCTGCCCCGTGCTGGAGGAGCTGCACCAGCACACGGAGCAGCTGGTCCAGGACCAGTACGGCAACTACGTGGTGCAGCACGTGCTCGAGCACGGCCGCCCCGAGGACAAGAACAAGATTGTCAACGTGGTGCGGGGCAAGGTGCTGCCCTTGTCCCAGCACAAGTTCGCCAGGTGGGTTTCCTCTCTCTCCCTTTCTCCTGCTCGTGGGCAACGCCTAGAAGACACTATAATTTCGTTCGAATGACATTATGGGGTCGGCAAATCGGCTCACGACACTCATGTAGTCACTAAGGAACGCGAGCTGATTCAATTCCATATCATTCGATAAAAATATTAACTTTTCCGTGTGCCAGGGGTACTAAACTTACTATTTACAGTCAACTAATTTGCTTCTCCCTATAGGCTCGAGCTGCATTAGAACGAAATATAACTTATTTTTTATACAATAGTACTACGCCGAAAAAAGCGCCAAGAAAAAACACAAGGGCGAGGAAGCAGACAGACAAAAGCACACTTCCAACTGGTTTTTATTTGTGAAAACTAACCATATATACAGCTTTAAACTAACACATAATCTCTTCTAAATTACATTCAGTTTCGATGTTGAGTACCGAAGTTTTCAATTTCACTTATATTGCTGCCAGAGGGACGTCTCAACTGAAAATAGCAAGCAGGTCTGTTCACATGAATTACGCTCTACACTACAATGTCCACGCAGAATCGATCGCCGTGCGCCAAATTCACAAGTTTTGCTCTGTCACCAGCCTTGTTCATTTCGTCTAGGCCACTGAAGTAGTCGGACTATACTAGGAAGTCTCGGGATCAACAATCCCAACACAGAAAAGAGGACAGGACCTACTAATGGTTTGTTGATGGGGGACTGTGCGCTTCCTTCCCACACCCAATAGCAGATGCGCAGCGCTGCTCGCCTCCGCTAGGGGCGCACCGGTTTTGTTTGTAAACATGAGTTGGTGTATTGGCCTCGAGATCGACCTAGAGGGGGTGCTGCTTTTGTGCTATCATCATCATCATCAAAGCGGGGATAGAAGCGTGGTCGCTCCGTGGGCTCTCCACGTTTGCGTGCGGGACAGTATAGATTTTTGCGTTTATTTTGTCGCATAGTATTGGGGGGAAAACAATTTTAGCGGAAAATGGTGCAGTACCGATCAGTGCTCCAGTGAAGATTGAATCGTGGTACTAGCGTACGGCCTAAATTCAAATAATCGCTTGTGTGGATGCGTCATCTGCTCTAGGCAGACGTTGGGAAGCATGGATCACCATGACGGATGCCTGTCTCCGAGTGAACTGCACTATTTACATTAAATATTTGTTTCTTTTAAAATAAATGTGTCGGTTCACCAGTGCGGGAATTCAAGAAAACAATGAATTCCAACCCGGATAACATAATACTGGTACTGTGGGCTGTAAAATCGCAAATTCTATGCATATTTTTTTTTTTTTTTTAACTTTTAGTATTTGCAGCAATATAAATATTTCGCATGAAGGGAAGTTAGTGCTATATTTCGCGTGAAGAGAAGTTAGTGCTGTGCTGTATGTGTGCCATGGTGTGTGTAAGTTTTTCGGATTTGGAACAATTCTATATTGCGATGAGGAGAGAGTGCCTCTTGTAGTGATCTGTGGACTGTTTGTTGGCAGGACAATTGAAACAAGTGAAACAAACTATTCTATCTGCTGCGAGTGGAACAAACACGTGTAACCGAGCAAGGCAGTAGCATTCGTGTTATTAGATGCTTTTCTCAGTAGTATGGGCTCACCCGCTTCACTTTTCTCAGTGAGGGCCGTGAATGTCGAGAGGCTATATTATAAATTTCTGGCTAAATAATCTTCTAATTAAACATAGTACCGTCGCCGACCGATTATTCGGACTTCGCAGGGACCGAAAAAAGTGAAAAATCCGCAAATTGAAAAACTTGCCTTTATAACTTCCAAGTGGGCTTAAAAAAGCCGTAAATAGTGCCTTGCTTCAGGTTACGCCTCCATTTGCGTTCGTCAACTTTCTGTTAGCTTGAGAATCGCTGGCTTGTTTCTAGCGTTATGGTTGAGTACTTTCTGCGCTTCTTAACGACACATTGCGGTGGCAGAAGAACAGATGGGGCCATGACGTCCAAGCCAGCGTTGTCCGAACGAGATGAGAGGAGCAAATCCACAAGAGCAAAATGGCAACTGGCGACGCGAAAGTGGGGCGGAGGCGCGAATTGTGGTGGTTGTGAGGATATTTATACAGCGTGTAGTTGGTCAGCCATTTAAATTTGCGACGAGTCACTCGCTGTAGATGAGCAGTTTAGCCAGTGCAGTACAACTGCTAGCCCGGGGGTCGTTAACGTGCACCACGCAGTAGTGATACACGACCGCACGCCGGTACAGTATAGACCACTTACAACGTAACCGCTTATAGTGCAGGACCCGGGTATAACGCGGTTTTTGTAAACCACTGGTTCGCCTCCCATAGAACTCCATGTATTTACATACTGCTTAAAATGCAGGCGTATGAAGGGAAATACCGGTTATAGTGCGGTTTTTGGAACAGCCCGCCGACCGCGCCGACTGACTGGCGCAGCGAGCACACTTCCCTGTGCAACACTAGATAACGGCACGAGCCGCAAGCGGCACTCGCGGGGCAAGGAGGTTTCTCGAAGAAGCGGGGAGAAGCGAAGAGAGAGGCTTCAGTTGCCATAGCGACAAAGGGATGCACACACGTGTTGTTCACGTGCATGTGTCCCTCTGCTGCGTTGGAAACAAACAACCGCAACGACAGACCAATCACAGGTTGAGGAGAAGTGTTCGCGCGCGTTGCATGCCAGTCGCGGGCCGGCTGCTTTTATCCGCGAACATGGCACCGGTTGTGATCGTCGACGTAGATGGCGTGGTGGAAGCTCATCGTTCCGCGTAAAAGCGCTATCCTTGACTGTGAATTTTCGTTGTGTGTCGCTATGATAACCCGGCACGTATTAGAAGAGAAGATCCACCTACTCGTGCGGCGATGTTGTGGCGGCACTCTCAAGACGGCAGAAACGCCCGTGTCGTCGTGTTTGTTTATTTCGACTACAGTGGTGCTTTCTAAGCATTTGTGTTTTCGAACATTGCCCGGATTTCTTATTTGGAGCATTTCATGCCTGTGCTCAAGTCGAAGGTATTACTGGCGCGTACCGTATAAAGGATGCGAATTTTCACGCGTTTTCATCGCCGGAGAAAAGTGGTTAGGGTTAGCAATTCTGAACGCTCGCAACGTTCGTCCGCGACCCACGACGCCGTTAAAAGGCTGCGCCAGACAGGAGTCGCTCATTTCTTTCAAAATGTGTGACAGACTTGAGAGAGAAGTGTACTAGTCTGGTGAAATAAAGACTTTCCTCAAACTAAGCTTTATTTTTCATCTAACATAAAATAAATTCTTTTACAAAGGTAAGTTGTCTCATGGCATGTATTTTGGCCTGAAAAATTTATGTTTTGGTTATAATGCGGTACCGCTTATAGTGCAGATTTTCGCAACTCCCGCGACATACGTTATATGCGGTCTACACTGTACGATGTTCATCCAGGTCGAAACGGGCAGGGGTGGGGATTGAGCCCAGGATTTCTGGGTTCTGCAGCGAGAGCTTTCGCTCCACGTGCTCCGAGCTGGTGTGCGCTAGCCCACTCGGCCACCGACCCCCCAGGAGGCGCGAAGGAATGGAAGGAAACTAAGCAAAATAATGATGATGATGATGACGTGCAGCCAAATGTAGAAAAAGGGCTAGCATAGCGTCACCTAGCGGTAAAACTCGGGAGTACTCAAGTAGCGCTGCCAAACCAAGCCAATCCATTCGCAGCCAGCATGGAATTCAAAATGGCCGCTTCTCGGTGGTTGCCGCTGATCGCTCACGACAATTTTGTCCGAATATTCAAACTTTCGGACTTCAAGCTGTCCGAAATATTGGTCGTGAGTATGCACTATTTTTATAGGGAAAGTCACGGTTCCTCCTTTAGGTCCGAAATATCGAACATGTCCGAATTATCGGAGTCTGAAAAAACGGTCGGCGACTGTAAACCCTGCAACACGTACGAACGACCCGCACCACGATGCAGACGGCATTGGCCGCAGCGACACTCTTTCACTGATGAGGGCCAGCGACTAGGCAGTTCATTGATTAACCTTCAGATTATTCAAATAATGCTTTAATTGCGTTTTTTTTTTTTTTTTTTTTTTTATAATCAGAATTTTGTGCTGCAGAAAGTCAGGAAAAAGTAAAAAATGCCTGCTTTAAAATTTCTGACATAAATATTTCTTTTAGGACGCAGGCTTGCATGGTAAACCACTTCAGCATGCTTATGATTGTCATCGAGGGTGATTGTACTGTTTAAGGCCCGTTCATACACTTGCGACTTTTTAGGACCGAGTGCCTTGAAACCTCATAAAATCTCTTACGACGAGAAGGCACTCTGACACCACCTATTGGGTAGCAGTGGAACACTCGGGTCCCGTATATTTTATATTCCTTTGCGCATAAACGAGTATTTTTCATAAGTAGAACGCACATTTTACCTTGCAAATGCTGCCAAACCTTCGCTTTTAGTGGAATGCACTTCCACGGTCACCGCATAGACGGCGCCAGCGTGTCAATGGACTCTGTCGTCGTAAGAGATTGTAATAGGTTTGAAGGCACTCGGTTGTGAGGAGTTGCAAGTGCGTGAACGGGCCTTTAATTAATTATTGCAGTTTTATTACAGCCTTTAAGACTGCAGTATGATACAAATTTGAGTGCGCAGTAGTATTTCGGTCTGACACTATTTCCAGGGAACGTAATATGGTTTACGTTTGGCTTTGTGCCTAAAATAACCATTCACAGTCACAGCGGCTCACACCGTCCTTTGCGCTCGGCGTATTGTTCTCGTGCCTGGCGCTTCCACACGCAACTAAACAGCTGGTTCTGTGTTTGAGGCGTTGGAATCAAACCTGCCGTGCAAGTGATGCTAAGAGAAAGATTACACAGATGTGGGAATTCGAAGTAGACAATGATGTGGATAGGGCAACACATGTATCTTGACGTAATATTTGCAGTGGTACGAACGACAATGAAGTGTGTGCTTAAACTCCAAACTTTGTGTCGTATCGTGCCGTATCATAAGTTCCTTTTGCTGCTCCAAAATGGACTTTTAGCAGCTCTGAAAGGTGCTCCAAAATTGCTCGGACCAATCGCGTCGCCGACAGGAATTTTTCCCGCCGTTGTTCTTCTTTCAGCGACTATAGTTGCCTCCTCCATGGGGTGTTGTCGTCCCCTGTGTGACGTCTGCTGTCACGCTTGTGATTGCGCTAGCTGACATGTTCTCTCTCTGTCTCTCTTTTTTACTTGCAGCAACGTGGTGGAAAAGTGTGTCACACATGCCTCCCGTTCGGAGCGGGCTGTGCTCATTGAGGAGGTCTGCTCTTTCCTGGATGGGTAAGTCAATCTAGGCTCTCGAACATTGAGTTGAGGGCAGCTTTCTTTTTTTTTATCGTCTGGTGTCATGTTGTTTACTCATAAAGGGAGCATGCAAGACCATGCAGAGGCTCGATAATGGTGAACGCCCATCATTTATTTCTATTGGTATGTGCTTGGTGCGGCGGAAAATTCATTTGCCGCGGGACGTGTTGGGTTGTGGGCTAGAGAGGAACCTTCGTCACATTTTCCTCTTCTGCTTTGTGAACTCTTCATTAATACCCTCATATCGAAATAACTTTTTTTCTTTTCCCCGAGTAGAAGATTAATGTGCGTACACTGAAACGGAGTTTTGGCGACTCTCTTTGTAGAGCTTTTTCTTTCTTCAGGTTTTGCGCACCTTCAAATTGATGGTTGAAAAAGAGGCACCTCTATACTTTGTTTCAGCGCTTGAGTCGAGATGCAGCCAATGCTATGAGCTGATGGGACCGATCAGAGCACCATCATGGTATTTGTCATCACTCTATCAAACCGGAAAGGCCCAGTGACTTGTGCTTTTGACGCTGCTCAATTGGTCCTATCATCTCATAGTGCGGCTGTGTCTGGACTAAAACCGAAACAAAGTCGCAGGCACAAACTTTGGCAGCTCTCGAGCGAGCGTTTTCATGCAATTGTTGCGGGGCAGAATCGGGACCCCGTCCCGAAGCCGCCTCGGCGCCTAAAATCGTTGTTGCCAGCTGCCTGAAGCTTTATTTGAACCTGCAGTAAGCCGACTTCTGTCCTCCAGAACCGTGGAAACGGTCTGGGACCGAGCGAAACGATATCACTCAAGCTTTTCTGCGCCGGATCCGAGGCTTAGGAAGTGGGACTTCTTTGTCGTAAGGATCGTGGTTTGCGTCTGCCCTGCACTAAGCACCGAGGTGGCACTGCCGACGGGAAAATCGGGAAGGGACTGCCGGCACTCTTGAGAGGAGTTCTGGGACTTTTGAACCTCAAAGAATGCCTGGTTTTTCGTGCGAAGTGCAAACAGAAGGGGAGAAAGCTAAAAAAATTAACTCTGCACACACGCACAGAAAAAAAAAAATTTTTTTTCATCCCAAAACGGTTGCTTACAAAGAGAAGCGATTCAAAAATTAAAAATAAACTATAAAAAAAAAAAATTGACACGCATGCAAAAAAAAAAAATCTTTTTAGCATATTGTTACAAGGTGGAAGTGAAGAGTGATGATAAAGAAAGAGAAGCTCTTGCCTTACAACGAACGCATCGTGGAAGTTCGTTGCAAATGGTTTTTGCTATATTGAATTACTTGCTATATTGACTGATCGTAGCGTTTCCTGCTGTTTGTTACAAATGGGCTTGACTGTACACGCTTAGATTTCTTACTTGCAGGCAAGTGGATATCCAGCTTTCCCTTGCTGTAGATGAAAACTTTTAAGTGAGACGCGTGCCAGAAGTGACGTGCGAGAGTTCAGAACTCCGCCGCCGGGTGTGTCATGTCCGTAACATCGACTGTCGAGCCAGTCCCGCACACACGCTGAATGGGACGCCTGCACTGCCTACTAGGACTGAACCTTCTTGGGCACGTAACGCATCCATCCGTTAACACGTCAACAAAACACCGACAACACCATGAGAAACTAATGAGGACAAAACCACGAAGTAGCTACCAACGAAACCACAGAGCGTCTGCCACCTGCCGCTCTGACGGCTGTACTGACGGGGGGGATGTTGAAATAACAAAACCACCATTTTGATGCTTCACAAAAGTGACGTCGGAGACATTGAAATAAATTTTGAGATATTTTGACGGTGGACATTGAAATAGTCACTGTCAAAAAAATAAACCCCGAGCAAACAGTAAAAACTTTCCATTAACGTGCTTGTAAACAGCTTAGTAACAAACTTTGAATCAATGTAACTATATAAATGTCCACTTCCTGAGTAGGGTAGTTACAAAATAACCTATGTACAAAAAAAAAAAGTCCCGAAATTTTTTGTTTTTTTTAAAATATTTTTTGCTTTTTAAAACGAGGGCCTCTCCTTAGCAAAACAGAAGCCTTTGCTAGCAATAATGCTCACACTAAGGTGCACTTGGCTCAGCACTGCATGGGAATGCATGGCTCGAACATACCGAGAGACTGCTTAGGCCGTAAAAATCCTCCTTTTGGGGGGAGGGGGGAACGAGCGGTTGAGGGAATCTATCTACTTCAAAAACCTAGGGGGTACTCTTCCCTGGGATCCTGGAACCCATGTTCTAAGCACGGTCCACTTAGCGGTTCTGCTCGTTCCTTGCCGCCAACTCTCCGGCACCCCCGCGGTCACTGAAGGGAACTGGCCTGCTCTCCTTGCAGGCCGCACAGTGCCTTATACACAATGATGAAGGACCAGTACGCCAACTACGTGGTCCAGAAGATGATCGAGGTGGCCGAGCCGCCCCAGCGCAAGCTGCTGCTGCACAAGATCCGTCCCCACGTGCCGTCGCTGCGCAAGTACACCTATGGCAAGCACATCCTGGCCAAGCTGGAGAAGTACCTGCTCAAGAGCGGCGACGGCGGCATGGCGGGCCTCGGCCCGTCGGGGCCCTCGTCCAACGGGGCCCTCTGAGGGACGCCGCGAGGCCCTCCCCTGCCTCCCCCCACCTTTCCCGCCATCTCGGCCCCTCCGCGCCCCTCCACCTGCCGCACAGTCCGCCACTTCGCCGCCTACCACTTTGCAGTCTGCCACCTTGCGGTTTGCCACTGCACGGTCTGCAGTTGTCGTCTGCTACTGTGGCGTCTGCTGTGTCTGCTAATGCGGCGTCTGCTGTGCGCGGTCTGTGGAGGCGTTTCTATCATCCCCCTGTTCTCAATTTCTTTTTCTCTTTTTATTTTTTTTTAGTTTTTGTGTGTTTGGAGAGGGCCAGGGAGGGGGTGGGGGTTTCATAGTGCCACCTCTGGCAGGACGGACCAGGTCAACCCTCCAGCGCCCTTTACTCTAAATTAAGATTATTTTATTTTATGCGTGCATGTATTTTTTTACGGCGAGAATGCTCTTTCCCCATATTTTTAGAGGACGCAGAGTGGGGGCGGGCGTCGTCCAACATACACCGACTGTACAGAGGGCGGCCGGCCTTAATTTCGGACGGGAGAGGGTCGGTCCACCCTTGGGGCTGGCTGGCTAAGTCGACATCTTTCTGCACCCCGCATTGGAGAGATTTCTGCACCTTTTTTAGGGTACAACTTTATTTTGAATGTGAGGACTGCATACAAATGATTTCTTTCCTCTCTTAGTTCACCAACGTCTCCGGCGTACCAGCTCTGCTACGCCAAACGGGCGGGTGAGGGGGTGGGAAAGTCTGTTACGGTAGTTGTAAAGCGACGGACGGTCCGATTTCACGCCGGTTTCCGCGAGTCAAGCGCGAATGCGGTGCGCCGTCCCGCTGGCATGTAATGCCTTATGGGCACGGTGGCAACGTTGGCTAGGCGATTCTCCGACTCCTTTCTATCGTACGATCGTGGCTGGCTTTTGCACGGATTGTTCCCTTACACAGCTTGCGTAAAATGTTACCTTTTTTTTTTTTTTTTTGTATTGGTTTGCCGATTTGTCGTTCCCTTATGTGAAGCGAAACGAAAGGTGCACTAACAACCTCACTCTCAGTCATCATCTGGAAGCTGTTGTCTTTCCCTATCCCACTTTTTTTTTTTTTTGCATTCATTGATTGTGTTGAGGTTGTTCCAGAGTTGTATGAAATCCCCCAAAACTGCTAAATGGAATTTTTTTTTTTTTTTTTTGGATTACAAGGCAGCGGTTTTGCTTCATAATCCATCTACGCTCGTATGTCTATACCTTATATGTGTAACATATATACATATATATATATTACTAGCAACGGCAGTTTGCGAGTACCGACCTTTGTAAAATGTTTCGTGTTCCGTCATCCGATGGCACCGTTGTACATGACTGTGCAGTATGGGAGAGGGAGGGGGGGGGATTAGTTTGTGATTTGTGCAAATAGGCAAAATCCCGAAAGATTTTTTTCCTTAAAATTTGATTGATGTGGGTTTGAGCCCCCCAATTTCGTCGCCGTTGCTACGAGTTCTCGAATTGGAATGCAGCAACAAATCTTGTGTCGTAATTTTTTTTTTTTTTACAATCATTGTTTTTTGTGACTGTTTTTAAGACTGTAAAAAGACTTGACGAAGCATATGCTTACTTTCGCACATTCTGTACGTTGCCATTCTGTACATTGATGTAAATTAGAAGGGACTAACAACAAACAACAGAGCCGCTATCCTTAAACCTGTCATTGGCTGTTTTTGCCCTAACATTTTTTTTAGTGGTGTTTTTTTTTTTTTGTGTGTGTGTGTGTGCGTGTTTCGTAGAGAGACTGTGTAGAGGGTTGTGTTAGTTCTGACTTTTTTTTTTTTTTTTTGGCGTGCGGTGCTGAAGTTGAACATGCGAGAATGCCACTCCTGCTTTTGAGTAGTGTAAAGAAAAAAAAAAATTTTCTGGCTCGTAAAAGATGTATTGCCTTTCTTTTCGTGTATGGTGTGACAATTGTGTAACGATCTCAAGTATGAGAATTTTATTTATGAACTTTTTTTTCTTCTAAATAAAAAGATGTAGCATATGTAAACAATGTATACTTTTTGCCTTCAATGCCGTTTAATACCTTACTAGTGCAGCTTAGCGTGTCAGTGTTTTACATACAAACTAAATATCCCACTTTCTTTTATCTCGGCACCTATAAATTATGGTGGAGTATAAATTTTTCAGTGTGCGAGGTTTTTCACTTGGATGCAGCCATTCTCTTGAAGAAAAGCTGCATCTTGCAAAAGGTTTAATTGGCATAATTCTTCAGCTTTTCCGCTTCCTTCGCATGCAAGTGTATGGCAACCCCTCGAATCAATTAGAAATTCGGAACCCTTTTCACACCACTGCGAGTTTATTTCAAGCGTGTTGCATTTAGGATAAGAGCGTTCCAGACAACAATGTAGCTGTGGTTTGTCGGAATCATTCAGTAGGAAGTTGATCCCGACGAACATTTTCATTGCACCTGCCGTTGCACGTCATAACTACGACCCATCGTCGTGCGACAATTGAGCGCTCAGCTGCGTTCGCAACCCCCGATTATGACAACTTTTGAGTGGCACGACTTTCCGACGCATTTATATACAGCGTGGCCATAACAAACCTGCTAACAAAACTTCAAGAAGATGCTTTTCATTTTTGTTTTATTCGTCTGGATTTGCCACACATTTAGTGTGTTTCAGTCACTGGATGCCTGCATTACGTGTGTGGTGTCGCTTTTATTTTTTTTTCGGAACAGCAGGCTTCATGTTAGCAGTTTTTATGTGTGTGTGTGTGTGTGTGTGGTGTGTGCATGCCAGTTATTTCACTTTGTTCAGTGAGGGGGGGTTGTATTAGTGGTCATTGCCTTTATCTTGTCCTGGGTGTTTGGTGTGTCATAGCTCTTGTATATCTTTTTTTTTTTTTGTAGTGTGTAGATGAAACACCCAGTTATTGTTTTCTTGTTGGTTTTCTTTCTTTTTTTTTTTTTCTTCTGGATAGTTGTTGGCATTTGGTAGTGGCATACTTTTTGCTCTAGGTGTGCTCTTACCTCTTGTGAGTGTGGGTGTTTTCTATGAGCACTTCTCTACCTATATATATATTATATATATGTATAAATATACATACTCTAGCATTAAAACGGCACAGTAAGGCTGAGGTTAGGGTTTCTCTTCCTCCTTTTTTTTCTTTTTCTCGTAAGTCCTACTTGGTAATGAGTTAGTCAAGCTCGGTGTACTGTAATTACTGTGTACAGTGTTTTTTTTTGTTTTTTTTTTGAGGTGGTAGATGAGTAAAGAGGGGAAAGTTGCCTTTTCAAGACTGTTTGAAGCGTCCCTTCCCCCGGCTTCATTTGCAAGATACGACACACAAAGAAAGTAGCATAGACGTCTTCACACCCCAGCGTTTTAGACGGTTTACGTGCTCACCACTCTTCACACCGTGTATCATATATACATATATAAATATATAAACATACCGCAGGCAGCAACTGCAGCGAAAAAGAAAAAAATGACATCCCCCAGTATTTCTTCTTTCCCTAACATCCTTTTTTTTTTTTAGCAGATTGTACAAATGTAAATTGTATAATTTTTATCTCAAAGATTTCGCACCACCGACAGAAGCACAAAACACGATTTAGAGCCGAGGACGGAAACACTGAAGACGCGTACGCCCCGTTCGCACCATGAAATTGCACCACTTTTGTTTCACATTTCCTCTATTTTAAAGGGGAGAGGGGGCGGGGAGGGGGTGTTCTTTTGTGGCTTGTAAAGAATGAGCGTGCCCCAGGCAGAGATGACACCTTGACGAGCTTAACCTGTTGTACTATAACGATCCTATTTATGAAATGACGAAGTACTCGGTGTAAATGTGTGTATAGAGCTTGCCTCAGTCGTCCCGGCCTGAGGCATCTCGGAATTATCCTCCAATTGGATGGCTGCAGCCATCTGATTAGCTTTGCCCAGCCAACCTTTCTCTCCTTTAGCCTTATCCTCATTCTCATCAGTCAGTTTTTTTTTTGTTTTTTTTTATGCAGTTTATTTTTAAATTGGTGGTACAAAACTGTAGATACGCGGGCTTTTGTGGGCATTGGTCGTGCCGGTTTGTTTCTAGATGTAAATAAGGGGGACCCCGTAGAAACAACGTTTCCGTTGGATTTGGGGCGAGCGGCGTCGGCGCGGAATTCGAGCATCCTCCTTGAGCAATCGTCAGCCACCTAATGGCGCCTCGCCGTTTTACCTAGTGTACAGAGATACGGGGAGGGGCAGGGTTTTACAACGGGAGCTCTCACGAGCGACTCCACCACCTAATTGAACCTACGAGATGTAAGATAGGATTTGCGACAGGAGGGCAGACTTTGGCTTTTGTACTTGTAGTTTTTCGTTTAAAAAAAAAAGAAAATGTGACTGAAAAGAAACCTTGGATATACCCATTGTATATGGTCATTGAAATCACCTGTCCATAGGAACGGTTTACCATTTCACGGGCCCAGAGTTGTTGCCAGTTAATTTGTCACAAGGATGGTTTTTCTTTTCTCACACCTTGGAGATTTTTTTTTGTTTACTCGGAAGTATCGAGGATTTAAGGAAGGGGAGGGAGGTTGTATTGCTTGCTTTATTTTTGTCTGTTTTACTAGCATTTTCAACAAAGAAAAAAAAAATCCCATGTGTTTGAACAAAAATTTTACTTGTGTGCATAATTCACCACCTTCCATCGAGATATCGCCTCGGCTCTCCCAGCATAACTGCACATGTAGAATTTTCACATGCAGAAGTGAGAAAGAAGGAGGAAAAATGGAAACAGTTGCGAAAAGTCGTATGTAAATTTAGACCTTTTGTTGTTTGCTAAACAAATTCCTTTTTTTTTTTATATCGCAGCTGCATTTTCACTGAACCCAAGTAGTGCCAACACTGAGGGCGCAAATTCTCAATGCTGAATGCTGCATTGCCGCAGACAGCGTAAATAGTGGTGCAGGATAAGCGGCGCAATTCGTATGTTCCTCGCTTTAAGTGCGCCCAGATTGGCCGACATTCATCCAGACCAGTCTCGCGTTTGGCCTCGGACGTTGGAGCATACAGCATTGAGGTCTTGTTCTCGAGGAGACGTTGGCGGTGCCAGCATCGTTTTTCCTGGATTCTCCCGAAGATACCGTGTCCCGATGACTCGGCAGAAAGGGAGGGAAAACGACGGCTCTGCTGTCGTTCCTCTTCGGTTTTCTCCGAGCCGTCGGTAGCACCGCCGAGAGAAAAACTGTGCCTTGTGTCATTTCACTGCTGGGACAGTCGTTGGAAGGCTAGAAAGCGGTTTGGTGGTTCTTCTCATCGCTGTTTCTCCGTTTTTTTACCTCTTCTTTTTTTGTCATCTGGGGCTTGCGTTGTATAATCCATTTTTCGAAAGTCTGATGTTAGTATACTGTGTACATTGTTGTACTATACTGAACTTGTAAACGTTTGTGTTTGGATACTGTAGAAAAATAAATGCCTTTGGAGTAAAAACATGAATGTGTGGTGTGCTTGTTCTTTTTGTGACACTATTTTTTTTTTGTGATTCGTGTACACTGTTAACGCGAACGCGATGAAGCACCTTGACGTCTGTTTTTCTTACAAGTAGCGTTGGATGTGCCAATGCTCGAGGCCTGCGCCCCGTGCGGCCCATAAGAGCTAAAGGCAGAGAACTCGCTCGTGGCATGTCCGTCACGGTCGCGCAACAATGGTTGTCGGTATTGTAATCATGGTTGAGCAGAAATACTCTTGAAAGTATTTGGAAATATGAACACTGGGATACTTAGCAGAAACGAATAAAATACTGATGCTGAAATACATTTATAAAAATGTATTGTGGTACATGCTGTCGGAAATACGTTTGAAAAACAGTAAAGTATTTGGAAATGCAGATACACGAATATGTTTTGGTGGGGCTGAAATGCAGACGCTGAAATACGTTGGTATAAAAATATTTTAGATGTTTTGATGCACTCTTTAAAGCATACGGAAAAAAAAAAGCAGCGTGCTTTAGAATACAAGATTTTGTTTTTAAAACCAGCAAGAGATTTCTCACTGTGTGTTGGATGCTGAATTAAGCTCTAACCAAATTTATGTAATAAATTTATATAGTATTGAATTTATGTATAACCGTAAAATATCGAGCAAGCGCCCACTCAAAATATAAAGATAATCGCGAAAATTGGGGAATGGGCGCTTGTTAGGTCAGTAATTTTACCTATATACAGTATCTACTATGCATATTTTTTCAGATGTTGCAAAATTTTGGTGTCGGCACTTAGTAGGGAATGTGCGGATGCTCGGTATTTTACGGTATAGTATTTATGTAGTAATGGAAGGCAGCCATTTTTTCACCGTGGCTCGAGTGCAGTTTTATTTTGGCATCTCTTAAAGAGACAAAATCCCAGGGACATCTAAATCAGTTTCGTGTCCTCCAAATAACCTCCAAGAGTCGCTATGATTATGTGCAATCCGGATGCCTCTTTCAGCAGTTACCTTACGACGTCGCTGTGAAATTAAGTTCAAGGAACCCGACTCCTTTATTTGTTGGTTTGGCGTGCCGACAAAGCCTTCGACTATTGGAATCGACTGGAGTAGTCAACAACCTAAAGTGTGGGAACACGTTTGCTCACGTTTGCACAATCAAGAAGGCAGTCTTGTGCAGTCAGAGACACACAATGTCCCCGACAAAACTTGTGCTGGACCCTGTGTGTGGAGGTCAATAATTATTTTTAAATTGTAACAATATACATTGGCTTTAGTTGTATCGCGATACAGAAATATAAAGCATAATGTATTTCTAAAATAATGTCGCAATACATTTGTATCGCAACACTACCCAACCCTGCTTCTAATAAACGCGAAGCATGGGTTTTATCGAGGGTCCTTTGAAAACGACTAGGGCACTTTTTCGCATTTGCTTTGAATGGATATTGCCAAGCACCAAACTTTTCCCCCTTAGGTTAGTGCTCTAAATGGGCACTTCCCGTCACACTAGTAGTTTTGCCGACAATCTTTTGATTCCAAGAGAGAAACAAAAAAAACTCATCACTTGTTTTTGTTAACGGTGTACTTGAATTAGGATCTTCGCGGCATTTAGCTTTCAAAGGTACCATCTAGGGGCTGCCTTGTAAACACGAGTGCTGTTGTCCGTCCCATGAGGGTCATTCATGGGCACAGCATGAGTATAAATGTTTTATTTCGAACGGGAACTTTAGCAAGGATAGGTCTTGTAAATTATTTTTCTTTTGTTACAAAAATTTTATTGAGGTTTCAATTATTCTAGGCTAGTTTGCTGCTTCAGTCCTTGGACACTTTATGGTGTTGAGGTGGGCATCCAAAATTTCTGCGCTAATAGATGTGTGATGCAAAGCAACAAAGCCGTTAATGTTGCGATGCCTTGGCAACGTTCTGATGACGCGTCTGGTTCCTGAAGTGTCTATTGGCTGTAGGGATTTTTCCTTTCTTGTGTGATGCTTGAGAGAATCCTTTGCCACTCACTAAAACGACGTTCAATGAAACGGATGATGCCAACGTTGAATGAAACGGCACTTTGTTTGCAATGAAGTATCTCGGGTACATTGCACATTGGTAAAGATGTACCCGTGTTTCCCTGGTGCTTTGTTTGAGGCTACATTGAAATGCAGTAGTGTTGATTGCAGTGGTGTAGTAATGGGGGGAGGCCCTTGGCCTGTGGTCCCAAGAGTCCCAGTCACGTTGGGGGGGGGGGTGCCACCTTAGGCAGCAACTGCACGCACCCCCCCCCCCACACACACACACGCACACACTTTTCTAGTTCTGATCTTGGGGGAAAGGGGGGGAGGCTTGAAAGACTCAAGGGCCCCAGGTGCCGGATGGCCTAGCTACGCCACTGGTTGATTGTCTTGTATGAAGGTGCTATAGGAAGGAGATTTAGAAGAGATCAACTGTCATGCCCCTAGGGACTAAGATGAGAACTACACCCATGGGGACAACAACAATGTGGATTATTTGTGTTATGAACGCAGAATTTGACAAAGCTGAACGCTGCATCAGCGCTTGGCTGGAGCTTGGTGCGAGTCCCAATCGAACACCGACAACAACTTGCGTACAAATCTGCCTGCACTTGATCGAGGAAGACCGACAAGAATCCAAAGGCGTTGTGTTGGGTAAACAAAGTGAGCAGACGTTCCGATTTAGGCGGGACAGGTCTCGCTTTTCTGGCCGTGGTCCTGCTGTCCTGTCGGTGTGCTTGTGGTATGGTGTTTTGTCCCACTTCAGCTCCCCCGAACTGCAAACTGGTAAAAGACTCAGTCAAACGAAAGGAGTGCACTAGAGCCACTAAATAAGCTGCGCTTAGAGTATCGGCACTCCGTTCCCTGACATTGTTGTGGGCGCCGCCATTTTGGCTCGTATGCAGAACAGACGCAACGGCCGATCGTCATGGTTCAAAAGTGCGACTTCCTCAGCATTAGATTCGGTGTTAGGAAGGTCATGTAATACTGCTTTGCTCTATCGCGAACGGTTTAAACATTTGTGGAGGGCGGAAAAGCATTTCCTGTGAATTCAGATAAAGCTTCAGATAACTGGCAACCATGATTTTAAGCCACAATATGGCCAAGTGTCGTTACTCTGAAGCGTAGCTTATTTAGTCGCACTAGAGTGCACCAGTGAGAGGATGTTTTCTCTGATCAATGAACAAGATATGCTCAGAGAAGATGCCGCTGTTGAAGGTTAATTTGCATTTTACATGTGAACAGTACTATGGGACATAGTATATACAAATATAAATACATCAATACTGGAGAAATTTGCCGACCAACTAACTGTATTAGGCATGCCAAACAGTATGCAAATTGCAAAGAAAAAAAATGTGCATGGTGTATACGAATTAATATAAAAGGTGTGATTTGTTCAAGAAATTTAAAGTTTTTTGTCGCACCACAATTCTCTTCCCCCCAAATCCCCCTGATAAGCATTCTGCTTTGGAGGCCGCATTCCCTTGAGCTTTTCGCCAGAATTTCTACGACCAACCGCCAGGATCGCGACATGCAACAGCATGATACTCTGGCATTTGTGACGTCATTTGTTGCCACTTCGAGACCACTTTTTATGTATGGGCAAGCATAGGACGCTAAACACACCAGTCGGCGGAGACGCGCTCCAGGCACCATAGCGTGGGGACGGCCATGATAAAAACCACTGATTTCTATAACAAATGCTGGATCGTGCTTCGCGCATCCCCAGTCCGCGAGTGCGGCCACCAGACGGCCATCTTGCATGCAGCAAAATCGCGCTTTTGCTATATAGTGTTGCAGATGCTGGAGGCAGCGCTCTGAAGACGTGTTTTCTACTCGTTCGTTGTCATTCGTCGAAGAAATTTTTTAAATTACTGTGTAAGCGATGATACTCGCTCTTGAGAACACAAAGAAATTTTTACGAAAGCGCAGTGCCGCAGAAAAAAGCCCCAACTCGTCGAAAGCAAGTTTCGCCGGTCTCACGGCGTGATCAAAGCTTCCTTCGCACGCCGAAGTGCTGTGTCTTTGTGCCTTCGCACGCCTGGATACCGATCGAGAATCGACACCGTGTGGATGTGTTTTGCGAGTGCAATGTGCGTGAAGCCGTATGTATAGGCACAACTCATCAAAAGCAAGTTTCGCCGGTCTAGCGGCCTTATCAAAACTTCCTTGGCACGCCAAAGTGCTGCATCTCTGTACTAGGATCTTTGGGCCGCCACTAAAGGGATGCTTCAACGAAATTTGAAATATACCCGTCGTGTTCAAAAATGGGTTGAATATGATCCACAATATCCGTAAATGACAATCGCACGTTTGTATTTTGAGCCTGGTGGCTGTATTTTTCGTTTTAAACCGCCCACTCTGGCAAGTGCTCGAGAACAGCCAGCGGAGAGCATGTGACACCCGACGCAATGGTGACGTAGTTCATCTCAGGACGAGCAAGGCTACGGCGAAGCTGACGTCGAAAGGATGGCCTAGTCGTTCCAGTTACCGAAGCGGCTGCTTTTGTACGAATTTTGAGTGACGGGTTAATCTTCTATAATCTTGTAGAGGGACAATAGCGACTTCTGGGTCACACAAAAGGGGTTCTCGGGAAAAGGGGAGTTCTTCCTTCCCCTCTTCTCTCGTCGTGGCCGGAGGCGAGACAGTTACCGTCACTACCTGTCAAGGTTCCTAGACTGGCATTACAAACGAGGCGTTAGCGACATCCACCAGGTGCTCTTTGCTAATCGTTTAATTTGTTTTACAATTCATTTTCGTGACTTCGTTAAGTAGATATTGGTGTGTTCGATGTGATACTGCTCCTTTGAACACATATAAACCAAAAAATAAGCGCCGAAATTTCGTTGTAGTATCCCTTTAAAAAGACGCACATGTGGCTAGACGTTTCCGTCAACTCTAACTTGAAGAGCTATAGCAACATTAGTTTCCGTAATTAAAATAAGAGCACCGAATTGATAGAACAGAAAAAACAATTTCATTAGATGTTTCGAGGTTCGAGTTCGACCAGATTCGACTTTTTCTAACTTCTTGTGAATTGCTCAAATTGCCTCAAATTGCTAATCCATAAATGTCCCATCATTGAAAACAAACTATTTTATTGCAAGATATGATTTTGATTTCACAAATGCTGGGGTTGTGGAGGGGGGTCTCAGACTATCCGTTAAAATCAGTGGGGGGTCTGAGACCCCCAATACAACATTGTGAACCCTGCTCACGTTTGCGTCACGCTCACGCACGAATCGCAGGTTCATCGTTGCATACGCAGCGGAACGCAGCAGCGCGTTGGCACCGCATCTCTCGCACGAGGCGCAGTTGCTTGTTTACATAAGGTCTTTGCCGGTCGGGTCACTGGTTTCGTTTTCTCGCCGCTACCAATATGGCGGACGTAGTTCCTGGCGCGATACTAGATGGCGCACTGTTTTTGGAGGACAAAGATTAAGTGAATGGTGGCAGAAATCGAGAGAAAACTAGGTATTTTCTTATTCACTGATGGCAAGGGGGTTTCATGGCCTCACTTTCTTTGGACTGCGGAGTGAATATAGATTTCACATTTAAATATTCTAATAGCGAGTTCGTTTCACGGCACTCGTGCCCACGCGTGCCCACTCGCAGCGTGGAACGGGTTCGTTTCAGCCGGCACTCCACGAGTGGTTGCACTCTCCGAGTTCGTTTCAGCGCTGATACCCCACGCGTGCATGCACTCGCTGCACCGAGAAAACCGGGAGTGCGCCAAAATGCAATCCCGTCATGCCTCGCTCCGGCGGGGCCGGCGAGGAGCGGGAGCAGGCGACGAGGGTTCGTCTGCTACGATGTGTCGCGGAACCGAACGGAACAAAAAGGTAGATTTTCTAATAGAAATCGCGTCCCGCGGGCCACAAAATCAAACGCGAGCTTGAATTGTGAGCGTCTGCTATTTCCCGAAGGAAGCAATTGACAACCCGTGATTTATTTGCTGGTTTTAAATCGCTCTGTTGCCGTATAAACGCTGAAATATACCAGTGTGTAAAGAAATGCTCAGAACAAACGTAACAGCGGCCCCCGAGATGTCTATCATCATCCGTGTGCGGGTGGAAAATTTAACATTTGTCGGCAACACTCCCCCAGCAGAAACCTCTGTCTGCCCAATAAGCATCAGAGAAAGCTAAAGATGGTAACTTTACCCGAGGATTGGGCAACATCATCATGTTTAACATTTACCTACGTCAGCTAACTTGCCCCGTCGTATTTTGTTCGAGAAAGCTCTCGTTCTTGACGCCCTCACCAAGGCTAATTTCTGATCCACCTATAATGACAATCCAAATCGAAAGTCCCAGTTTTGCTGGATATTCCAACAGGCTAGTTTTAAGCCGTACTTTTTCAGTGGTTCACGCATAATACCATGCTCAAACGGATCAAGCTTCTGCTCGGACAGCATCATCAGTTTTCTTCAGTGTAAACGGTTATAAGAATTGAAAGATCGTAACCAGCTGCTTTGTATAAAACTGGGTGCGAAAATTTACGCCGTCTGTAACTATCTCTACGGCAGCCGAGCTGCTTGAAGTCATCGCAACTATAAACTACAGGTTGCAGCGACCACAGTTTGTAGATAAACGTTGGTAGCCGACTGCATTCTCGCATTCCCACGCATCACTCCGAACAGAAGGGCGCTAGTTTCGGTTTGAAGTCGGTACCTTTCCTACAACATAGATGGCGGCAACATCAGTCTTCTGCACGCGGTGCATTTGGCGAGTTCGTTTGAGTCCAGTTTTCCGTGCAACACTCTGTGAGTGCGATGCATTCTGGGAGAGAACTCGAACGGTGCCAGTGCGTGTGAAACGAACTCGCTATAAGTTTAAATGGTAAAACAAAATGGCTAGGTGACGTAAGCTACCGCCCGATCCAAAGGGCTCAGCCGTATTCATTTATCCATCTATCTATCCACATCCAGTATTTTGCTTTTTTTTATCTCAATTTATGTATTTATCACTCACCTGCATAAAGTTATTATAATGTACGCTAGAGGTTCAAGTGGCGCTAGTGTGCTGACGCAAATTGAAGCAGACAGCAACCAGTCGAAAATTGACTTCCGGTAATGCATTACTATGGGGAAAAGTGAGTGCATTTTCTCCCTGCACTCGATCATAAGAGTAAATATTCCAAATAATTCGTACGTACTAGGTAGTTTGGAACATTTCTCAGTCAGGCTGACGAAAGAATTGGTCAGTTACGGCGTTTTTCTCTCGAATTCATCGCACTAAAAACGGTGCTAAAACGGTTTCGTACGTGTATTTATGTGCACTGTCGGACACTGTTAGCACGAACGCGGCGTCGGCGATTTCCAGCAAACGAACGAAGGACATCTGGAAAATCAAGAGCGGCGGCAAGAACTACGCAGCAACACCGGACCAGTAACTCGCAGTGCATGTACGATCAAAATAAATTGAAGGTCACGTAATCTATTCTGATTTTAAATAAGTGAGTACCTCTTTATTCTTTCTGTCCAGAGCGAAGCTGCGTGTTCTACGTTCAAAATATCACCCGCGCGCTAGACATCTTTGAGAACAAGTGCGCGATAAAAGCTGCCCGGCAGAGAAAACCATACGAAGAGACACCTTTCATATCCCACGGACTTTATTCTCTACGTTGAAGGTTTTTATCCGCTCATGCACGACGGGATCATTTTCATATGGTGACAGGACTGGCATATTATCAATATACAAGCGTCACCGGAATGCTGGCGAGCCTTGAACACACTCTATATTCGTTTCAATCGTAATTTTGCTTTGAATCGTCGCTTGTTTTTACACACCTGCTGCGGAACACACGTTTGGGACTGAAATGCAGCGAAGTTAAACATCGCTCACTGATGAAGGAAAATGCGCTAACTAAAGCAATTACACTTTTGTAATGTTAATTAAGACAAATACTATTCGGTACGACCGAAATAACCAAAGTGTTCCGTGTTATTTTCCGGCGAAGAGACAAAATGCACGCGCGTTTTCCCATAGGAATGCACAGGAGCACCGCAAAAGTAGACTGGTTGCTGTCTGCTTCAATTTGCGTCACGGAAGTCGCATAGACACTAGCGCCAGTTGAACCTCTAGCGTACATTATAATAACTCTATGCTCACCTGCGTATGCGCATACGTTTCGTGTTACAGATGAGAATTTTCCGGTAGGCTATGTCAACGGTGGGCTATGTGGCACTGGTGGCCCTAGTGGCAGACTCTCGCGTTAAACCCGACCGTCTAGTGGCGCCCTATTGGTCGTGATCGCCGTTTCGGTTTCGCATTTTTGTTGCTTAGTGGCTCAGCTGCGCGTGACGGCCCTGGAGAAACAAGCCGGCATCGCCGACCTCTGACGTCACAGTCGAGCCGTCGTCCGTCGTCCCGTGTTCGGTTTATGTTGTGGTGTCTGGTGCCCAAGAATGTGATGTGTTCCACGGTGCTATCCTAGCCCAGCGTTGTGGCCGTGTCGTCCAGCGAACCGCCGGTGATCGTGCGTGCCCGTTGACGTGTGTTGCGCGCTCGTGTGTGCGCGATTGTGCCATGTCGGGCTGTGCCGGATCCTGAGGAGCGATGTTTCGCTGTATCCCCCTGTTCCGCGGCTGCAATCGCCAAGTCGAGTACATTGACAAGCGGCACAGCAACCTTTTTAACGTGCCAGACGATGTGCTCAGATACACACGGACGTTAGAGGAATTGCTCCTAGATGCCAACCACATCCGAGACCTGCCCCGGGTAAGTTCAGAGATCGAGCGTGTCCACGCCTCGAACGCTCTTCGCCGACGGTGCCGTGCTCGCTAAGCCTAACCGCCCCACTAGGCTTACGTCTCATTTTTAAGGCGTTTTTTCCCCTTTTGCAGGGTCTTTTCCGCCTCACGAAGTTGCGCAGGTTGAGCGTGAACGACAATGAAATATCCCTGCTCCCACCCGAAATTTCCAGCTTGATGAACCTGGTGGATTTGGACGTGAGCAAAAATGGTAAGAACTCACGAACGGTCGGAGCGCTTGTGTATTCGTGAACACCCGTGAAACGCTGCCTCGTGAACATGCCACTAAAACTAATACAAATCCCGATCGAAAAAAAAAAAAAAAGTAATACTCTTGCGCAGCGTTTGTAAAGTCACAGGCGAAAAGAATCTCTTATCAACACCATGCACCTGATAGGAGGCGAACGAATTCCTTCAAGGGGTGTGGAATGCTTACGTCCTCCAACGCTTCCAGCAGAGGATGTAAGCAATCCATACACCGGAGGAAATCGACTGTTGCCGTGTGCATTAGGTGCTGCAAACAATACTACCATACAAACACCTTTTTTTTACAAAAAGAAGAAAAGAAAAATGCTCCGTGACAGCCGGTGTTTGTGGAATTCGTGGGCTTTTGACGTGGCGGTGTCATCCTTTGTTGCTCATGATTTCTCCTTTTTTTGTGATCGTGTGTTTGGGGAACTAAAAAAATAGAAAAGAAAGGAATGTAGCGAGAGTTCAAAACAAGCAGCTGCAGTTAAGCCCTGCGTGTGCCGCACCCAATTTCGTCTCGCGCTGGAGCATTACTCGAAACTTACGATGAATGAGTCGGTAATTTCTCCGATCTTGTTTTCGACTCGTTCACGCGGGATAACACAACACTTGCTGTGCCGTGCTCGTATGAAAAAGGGAAAAATAAATTAACTAAAACTGATGCCAAACTCACATTTGATCGGATAATGCTCAAAGATTGACTAGCGGATACACTGGCAAGAGATCATCGTTTCAATTCGGCGTGTCACTAGCATAATTTGTAAGAAGAACCGGGCAAAAGTCTAAAGTTCGGTGCTATCATTCTGCATTCTGAAATCAGTAAGGAATAATGCCTCTGGTGAATTATCAAGATCTTTCCGCAATGATGGCTGAAAAAGTGGCACCGAAGAGTGGCTTTGCTTGTCATTATTTTGAACAATATGTATTTTTATTTTTTGAAATAGAGTTGTGAAGGGCACGGTGGCAATAACATGAACCATTTAACCCAGGCAACAACATACACACGTAGTTGACACTGCAAGGAAAGTTTACCTTTGTGGAACCTGCTCCGGTGTTATTAGGTGTTCCCTGTTTTGTATGGCTCTGCCATTGAAAGGGACCTAGTTTAACCATTTGATGCGTTTGGCCTTTCACAATAATGGAGGTTTGAAGATAGTCCTTGAGCAGAAGCTACTAGCCTAGTTGTACCCTGTAGATCTCAGCATGTCCCTGCAAGAATTCCCGGCTATTCTTGCTTGGAGATTTTAGCAGCTACCCTATTCCACAATCTGTTGCACACTCATAACCGCAGAGAAATTGTGTTCGCCATCAAATAGGTAGGATATACTGTCCCACCTGAAGGGTATTTGCTATACGAAAAATATACATTGCGACACCCAAGTCATAAAAACGGGCTCCTCATATTGTTGAATGGAGTTTTACATATTGAAAAATGTAGGCTATTCTTGCAGTATGTTTCCTGTGCTATGACTGCCAGTACCCAACAACATCTACCACATCTACCTGAATGTAATTATATGTACAAGTTAGATTCATAACATGCACCAGTAGAAAACATGCTGTCTTTTGTTCTTGTATGGAGTTAAAAAAGGAGCTGTCAGCTAGGAGTTTCATGCTGTTTGCCAGGTGGACGTGGAGAGGTCGACTGAACCACAACATGAGAAAACATTCTGTACGCGACATTCCCATATATTACCAAAACTGTTTTCATGCCTTGTACACATGAATATGCAGTAATTTATTAGTATTAACTCATTAGCAACTTATGTACCATTTAGTTAAGTGTCAGAAAAGCTAGAGCTGTGAGATCTTTGGTTGCAATTTTCGTAATTGTGGGTTCAGTGACGGTTGGTAGGGCAGAGGCGTTATTCAATAGCCACCGATACAGCATTTACAGTGCTGCTACGGCATGAATGAAAAAATTGTCAAGGTATGAAAATTGTGACAGAACCCACCACACAAACTTGGGGAACCTTTGCATCTTCATATTAATTCAATCTGAATAAAAAATTTAATGTGCATGCCAAGAGTGTGGTAGGGCTAATTTCCACACTTTTGATATTGGGGGAAAGGTCCATTAAGTTTCTGAGAACTGACTTTCCGAGCCCCCGGGTAAATATTGCATCATTGTAATTTCCTTTGCAAAATTAGGGCTGCTATTCAGTAAATGTGTGAAAACATTTCAGTGCACGAGGGCGTAATGGTGATTGATGGTCAGGAAGAAATCTAATTGAAAAAGAAAGTCAATACTACTTTAGCCTTGTGGCTTTTTCTTTATCACTGCTTCTGTTACTTATAAAATTGTCTATGACTCTGTTGTTTTGGAATGCTAAACAGAATAATTTATCAGCTCATCCCACAAGTCCTGTAGTTTCTGGAAGCTTGGGCTGCTTGTGTAAAATGAATGATGGACCTATGAAAGCATTTGCTCCCCCAAGCTGCCAAATTGTGCAAAGTCTATAACTTGGCAAAAGTACCCTTGTGAAACAATCAAGGTGACTGTACGAAACATCGGACAGTTCTCCACAGGAGGAGGGCACTGTCACATGCATCAATTCAATGCTCTGCTGGTTCAGCAAGGCCGTAACTCTTGCCATTTGCCATGTTTCACTGAAATTGAGTATATTTGTGGCGAGATTTCTGGTGGAATTTTTTCACAACCCAGAGTGAGGATACTTCCACTTCCTCTGCTGGTGCAAGAATTTGCAATGCCAAGCTTCTATGCACGACAAAATTTAAAACAAAACCTCGTGGGTAGCACGTGCACTACCCATAGTGAGGAAAACAAGTGCTTCTAGAAATGTGCAGTACAGCCTAAGTTTTCGCCACCCATTCATTGGCTCGTTTATTCAGGGCAGTAATCATCACAGGGGGGAGCTTTACTTGCAGGATCAGTAGTCTAAGTAAGTTAATAGTTTAGGACTTTGTACGGTTTTGCAACTTATTTTTATGTCTTCATGACACAGCCTAAAAAAAAAAAAGTTGTGTCTATCCAGTTTTTTGTACACAGAAAGGCATTGTAGCAAGTACAGCCCTCAATAAGAAAACAAAACGCATAGTAATGTGATAGTAATGCAATTTAAGTAAAGATTGTAAAACAAGAAATGCAGCGACGAACTTACATTAGTGAAGGGAGATGAGTAATAAGTAATCTGATTCATTATCTTTGTGTAAGTAGAAATGCACGCGTTCTGTACTGTACTGGATTCCTTTTGCGGGCATATCTGCATGCTAGTGTGGCGGGACTGGGCTTGGAAAATATTGTGCGTAGTGGGAATTCCTAGACGCGTATCCACGGATTGGCACAAGCCCAGAGCCTTTAGTTGGGCGAATCTCCTTACACTTGTCATGTTTCGCACGTCCGCTTCGGAACGCCTCGGTATGACGGCGAAGGTGACTCGTAATGGGCGCTCTTTTATTCGTATTCCTTCACGTGTACTCGCGCGGAAGTGGCAGAAGCTCGTAGTACGGGAAGGTTCCGAAATAGAAGCGCGGAGTAGCAGCTGTCGTTTCGCCGGGGAGGAGCTTTGTGGAATTCAGATGTTCTTTCTTTCGAGTTGTCTGCTCTCGCGAACACTGTAAAAAGAAACCGGAAAGGAACGGGAGAACTTTTATAAAGGAACCTCCGTCTCTTCGGGAAAAAATTGACTGTCACTCGTGCGGTCGTCTCGAGTAAAAGCAATGTAAGTTGTCCGTTATTTTAGTTCCTTAGCCTCGGGGTTTAGATTATGTGTTTTTTGGCCAGTTCCCGCATACATCTTCCTCTGGGAATTTGTTCATCTTTTAGTTATTTTTAGCCGTTTGTTGTACCAGTAGCTTATTAGGGAGGTAGCTTTCACTGTGGTTGTTGAAAGTTCCTGATTTCCCCGGGTGCACTTCATTGCTACTCGATAATTTACCAAGTGTGAGAGTTATTGAGGTATAACACGGACAAAAAGAAACACACACACACACAAAAAAAAAAACGAGATCACCGTGGTTGTATTGATGAAGCAATCTGGTATTGGTCCATAATAATTATATTAACGACAGTAAAGGGCAGCTCCCACCGTCTTCGTCCATTTCGCTGTTTTTCGTGATGTCGATCAATCAACTAGCCCAGCAGTCCACTACTGAATAGTCGTTATGCGAGAACGCTAAGGTTCCGTAGAATTTGCGTATAAGCATCGTGCATCAAACGTCTCTGTTGGATCCCCGTGACTGCACATCAGGAGAGCGGATTGAATGGGGACATATCTCGCCATGAAAAGGCGGAGGGGGGGGGGGGGGGGGGGGGATTTGTGAGGGTTGCGGCCTTCTTTTTTTTTCTTCAAGGGAGCAAGTCGTACGCGTGACTTGTTTATATATGCATTGAACTCACCGCGGGAATTGATAAGACGGGAATCGCGATGGTGGTGGTGGCGCCGAGCCAACAGGGCCGCGTTTCTATCTCCGAGCAGCGCTGTCGGATGCTTTATGACGAAGCTTGGGTGTACGAAGGAGGGGGTGTTCCCGGGCGTTTCTTTTATCATATCGTCGATCGGCGGCGAGCTGCTATCACGCGATGGAATGTCCTCGTGGTGTGGGGAGGGATGGGTGCACGAACCATCAGTCTTGTTGCTCCTCTATCTCTCTCGTTGGGGGCACATCTAGGGCGAACTTTGAGCCGTTCTCGGCCTTGCTGCGTGATGGGGTTTGGTCACGGACGTGCACGCGTCGATTTTTATTTTCTTTCGAATTTGTGGTCCGGGTGTGCGAGCGTTTAGTCACTATTACACGTAAAAAGTTTGTTATAGAAAAAAAGTAGATCATTTTTTTTATTACAATAGGTATTGCATGCTTTGCACTTACGTCGCATCATCCATTGCGCACCACCACGGAAGAGAGGGGGGGGGGGGGGGGGGGGGGGACTGCTTCCGTATGAATTTTGAGTGACGGGTTAATCTATAATCTTCTAAAGCGACGTCGTGGCATGTCTGGGAC